GTTTTTTATTTCTATAAAGGTTCTATAATTATTATATATTATAGAACGTTATATTATAAAGACTTTATAAATCCTAAGAAATATTTTAAATTCTATAGTAATTTAGAGAATTATAAGTTATATATTACTTTTAGCTTTTAGCTGTTATAAATATTTCTAATGTATTTATAATCTTTCTTAATATAACTATAATAGAATATATAATAAATATTTTCTTTCAATTAATAGAGATATTATTAGCTAATAATTATTTAAAGACTTAGTATAAGTTATATATATAATATTAAAAAGATATAAAAGAAATAATTATATTATTATAATAAGCAATTATATATATCTCTTAAAGTATATTATTTATATACTATTAAATATAAGCTTTAGACTCTTTATATTTTATAATTAGTATATTAAATATAAACTAGCTATTATATATAATAATAGTAGAAGCTTATTAAGAATCTAGATAAAGTTGCTATTAATAGTAAAATAATATACTTTTAATTACTATAATATATATAGTATAAGTAATTCTACTAATAACTTTATTTTGTTAATATATAGAATATATATCTAGAATTAACAGCTTATTTAGACCTTAGATATTAATAACTATATAGTCTTTATATTTATTGTCTTTGCCTACTTAAATAATAAAGACTAGGAAGGCAAATAGAACTTATTTATTTATATAAATAATCTTCCTAGCTTTAAGTAGATTTTATACTATCTTTATTATAATAGTATAATCTTTAGCTTCTAAGGTATAAATTTAATACTTCTTTAGAATTTCTATCTTTTAGTTAGTTTTTATTTAAATTTATATTTATTTTTCTACTAGTACTACTATAAATCTCTTATTAAGAAATAGAGCGCTAAACTTATTAAGTAGTTTTAATAATAATATATTTTTTTATAGTTAGTTAGATTTATATCTATAAACTTCTATAGATATATAAGTAAATATTAATTGCTTATTTAGAATATTCTTAAGCAGCAGTATATATATTTATTAATAGAGTTTAGTAACTTTAGTAAAATTACTTACTATATTAGTTAAATCTATATTAACTAAGAAAGCTTAAGCTTTCTTATTAAATAATTAAAAAGTACTTAATTTTTACTTATATTAAATAGTAATAAGTTAGTTAAAATAATTTGCAACTAAAATTACTATTATTATACTATTTACTACTAAAGCAAATAATACTAATAGTAGTATTACTTATAGTTTAAAGAGAAACTATTAATCTAGAGGTAATTTATAAATAATAGAGATAGTTATTACTATACTAAGTAATATTTATATAGTAAATTAAGCTTTTGCTGTAGTTTTAATTGCTAGCTAATTATACTATACTACTATAAGTATTTAGATTCTCTAGCAGCTCTAAATTACTATATAGCTTTTACTAGTAATTATATTTATTTATTCTAGTTCTAAATAATTTATACTTAAAAGTATATTTATATATAGTAGTAAAACTATAGTAACTTTTTATATAAAAGATACTACTACTATATAACTTTCTGTTAATTTGCCTATAAAGTTTATAGTTAATAAAGTATATTTATTTATATTATATATATTAAAGCTAATACTATAAATAGTAATTAGTATTACTTTAGTGTAAATTTTATAATTTAAGTATTTAGTAGCTAACTACTTAGCATTAATTAGGGATTTAAAACAACTAGTATTAATATAAATATTATTTTATTATGCTAGTAATATAAAATCTAGATAAATCTAAAATTATAAATAAGTCTAGGTTTAGAAAGTAAATTCTATACCTAAATCTCTTTCTATTAGTATAGATAATTAAATTATTAAAATCTTTATATTATTTAGTTATAGTAGTTATACTGCTAATTCTAAAGAAGAGCAAATATTATTAGTATAGAAAGCATAATATTAATTTATACTATTATATTATAAGATCTAAGAGTAATAGTCTAAAAGTTTATTGTCTCTAGCTAGCTTATTAAATAATACTAATTTGCGCGTTCTACTATAGACATTTTATAAGTGCCTATATAGAGCGTTTTCTAATAGAAACTATCTATAGCACTTACAGTATATATACTTTAGAGGTATTATTATAGCTATATATTATATATTATTTAACTTTAATAACTAATTTAGTCTAAGAGCTTTATGCTAATTACTTAATTTATATTGCTAATTTATATCTAGATATAGTAATAGTAAAGATAAATATATATCTAAGTATTTATTTTAATTAAAATAGTAAGCTTACTAGTCTTAGTTTTCTATTTATTATAAATTAAAGTTGCAATAATTACTCTCTGCATTATAGTAAGTCTTATCTAGGCTATCTTAGTATATATTAGTAGTATAGTAAGCTCTTTAGAGTGCTTATTAATAGTTCTAGTTAAAATAAAGTAAGTTATATTAAGGTCTATAAAATTAAAAATACTTAGTTTAACTTTAATAATTATTATTATTAATTCTATTAAGTCTAGAACTTTTATTTAATAGTAGTAGAAATTTAGTATTTTAGAAAGATAGTTCTAGTTGTCTGTCTTAATAAACTAGTTAGAAATTACTATTTTAGTAATTATTATTTTATAGAATATATAGTTCTCTGCTATATCTCTATCTCTACTAATTACTATATTAAAGTTAGGGATTTATTTTATACTGCTTTTATTAATATAGACTATAGAATTATAACTATTAGTATTTATGAAATTACTTTAGAGAAGGTAGTAGAGCAAACTTCTCTCTTATAAGTTACTATAATATTACTTCTCTATCTTTAATACTAATAAGGAATTAATTTAGAGTAGTTTAATTTAATAAAGAAGGAATTAAAGCTTAGATTATACTTTTAAAAGATATATAAATAGTATAAAGCTAAGTAATACTGCTCTACTTATAGAAATAAGTATTTTTAACTAAGTTATAAATAAATATAGTTATATTCTTGCCTTAGTAGTAATCTCTTAAAGTATATTAAGTAGATTTTAGTTAAGCTAAAGCTGCTATTTAGAGCTCTTTAAAGTATTTAATAAGTTTAATATAAATTATATTAATAGTTACTAACTAAAGTATTTAGTAATTTATAGTAGTTAATAATTTAGTATGCTATATTAAGGCTAATCTCTAGAGATATATTATTTCAACTTTCTAAACTAGTTTAGTCTCTCTAGTAGTAGCTAGATATATTAGTTAATTTATAAATATATATATATATATATATTATTATATAGGCGTTAGTAATAATTTTATTTTCTATAAAATTTTTAATATCTAAGTTAAAGTATTTAATATCTACTAAATAAAGATTTTATTATAAAGTGCTTAAAGAGTCTAGAGTTTATTAATAATTTATTATAGCTTATTAAGATTTTAATATTAAATATATAGATTTTATTACATTACAAATAGCTCTAAGAACTCTCTCTATAGAAGTTAATAATAGTATAGCTAATATATTAAGTTGTAAGGCTAGGGATAGAGATAGAAGCTATAGAGAGGGGGGCAACTTAATGTCTGCTAGTAATAGAGAAGATAGTTAAGTTATCTCTTTCTAATTCTAAGTTGCTTCTTTCTAATTTAAAGTTATTTCTTTCTAATTTAGAGTTATTTCTACTATAATATAGAAGTTCTCTAAATCTTAAGTTAATTAGTCTAATTTAAGTAACTAACTATTCTCTAGTTCTAGCTATACTACTCTTAATTTAGTAGGCATAAGTAGTAGTATTATTATTAAGAAAGAAGAATACTTTAATAATTCTAAAGTTATTAAGTATATACTTAGAGCTTATAGAAATAGTTAATTAAGCTATTAAACCTAGTATTTATAGAATAGTAGAAATATTTAGTATTATTTAAGCTAAAAGGTAGAAAAGTTAAAGTCTAAAATACCTAGTAATTCCTAGTACTAATAAGTAATTTTATAGGCAAGGTAGATATACTAAGTTAGAATATTTTCTATATAAAAATAGTTTATTAATAAAAACTATACTAAGCAAACTATTTTAAGAATAAATTATAATAGAAGTATAAAGAATAATAATATAGAGTTAAGACAGAAAAATAAAGAGAAAATATAGTTATAATAAAAAAAATAATGCTAGTTTAGTGCTAGTTTCTAGTTTTATTATAATATATAATTGCTACTAATTATAAGTATATATACATAAAGTTAATTAATTATGTAGCTATAGAGTAGTAAGCTAGTAAATATGTATGTAACCTTGGGTCACGTGACAGATTTACTGCAGCCCACATCGTCCACAACGACAATTTGGTGGTGTCAGTCTCCGCATCTGTCGCACTGGTCCACTGTCGCACCGCTTGTTAGTTTGAAGCGGCATCATCTGGGCTGCCGGATGGAGCCGTGGTAACAAGGCCCTTTCCAGATGCAGAGCCAGTCCCCAGTCCCCCTGACGATGTCGCGGACTCGTCGACTACGTACTACGTACGTAGTAAGCTAGTATTCTCATTTGCTCCACATTCCGATAGCCTGGTCTTATTAGTTGCAGTGCCGTATAGGTGCTCCGTGCGGGTACAAAAAGTCGTCTGTCGCGCCAAACTTTGCGATGTTTCTGGGTTCCTTATCTGTGTCTGCCTTAAGCGTGAGGTCGCCGACCGGATCTCATTATTACCGCTTTTGTTGTCTGGCCTTCACGAGTGTGTGTACTCGAAGCTGGGGTGCCTCGTTGTGCCTGTTTACCTTAGTGTCGCAAAACTTTTTGCGGCGTCTCGGAGGCAAGAGACGGAAGGGGAAAGGAAAAAAAAAAGAAAGAAAGAAAAAAGGGCAAGAGACAAGATTGGTCAGCCCAAGACCTGCGTTCAGCCCTCCTAAAAAGTCCCCTGCTCGGTCGGTCGACTCTTCGTTTCCAGTCCAACCCCAAGGTCAAGGCGGGCTGCGTGATTTGGAGGATTGCACGACATCACGACGACCAGGCAACTCGGCTGTATCGTTTCAACAGCAGCGGCATCCCTTCAGACTCGTCTATTTTGCAAGATCATGGCCCCAGAAACGCACCCTCCGGCAACGACGGGCGATGATGTGGCGGCGCCACCGCAGAATCAACACCACACGCCAGTTCTTGGTATGGACTACAATCCCGATCCAGCCTTGAACCCTGCGAACCAACACAGGCATACACACCATCACCATTCTGCGCGGATCGATGCCGCAGGCGGACATGACGATGCCTTATACACGTCCGGCACCACCGCGGACCCTTCTCTGGTCCCTGTCCAGCAGCATGGAGACAACCACCACGCCCTCGGCGTCGACAAGAAGGATCCCCTCGCCCTTCCCGAGTACTGTGACGAAAACGAGAAGCTTGAGGCCGGCGTGCTGAGCACCGGACAGGGCTCGACTGACCATGCGCATGGCAAGCCCAGCGGTCGATTTACCGCCTTGTATAGACGGTTCCGCCCTGCCTTCCACCTCGTCTACTTCCTCCTCTTCACCGGCTGGTGGATTGCTTCTCTCATCCTGCATAAAGACGACAAGAATTGGGTGGTTCCGTTTCTGCTGTGGCTTGCCATTTCTCTGCGTCTCTTCTTTTACTACGTCCCCAGTCGCCACTTGTCGACCGCCATCCGCTGGATATGGAGCCATACGGCTCTGGTAATCTATCAACTGGTTCCCCCGGCTTTCCGAATTCCCGTCGGTGCCTTTGGAGCTCTGGCGGTGGTGATGGTAGGCACCTTTGCTTCTGAAGAGGTTGCTGACAACAATCGTGCCAACCGAGCCGTCAGTCTTTTCGGATTGTTGGTCATGATCTTCGTCTTCTGGGCCACCAGCGCACATCGCAGCCGCATCAACTGGAGAACCGTCATCGTTGGCATGCTGGCCCAGTACATCATTGGGCTTTTCGTGCTGCGGACCGGCGTTGGTTACGACATTTTCAGGTTCATCGCCGACCGCGCCGGTGATCTCCTGGGCTTTGCTCGCGAGGGCGTGGCCTTCCTTACCTCGGAGGAGACCTCTCTGATCAAATGGTTCCTCCTCGGTGTCATTCCTGCCATCATCTTCTTCATCTCTCTGGTACAAGTTTTATACTACATCGGTTTCCTCCAGTGGTTCATCAAGAAGTTTGCTACATTTGTCTTCTGGGCATTGGGGGTTTCCGGCGTAGAGGCTATTGTGGCTGCTGCCACGCCATTCATCGGACAGGGAGAATCCGCAATGCTGGTTCGACCCTTCGTTCCGCATATGACCAAGGCCGAATTGCATCAGATCATGACGTGTGGTTTCGCTACGATTTCTGGCTCTGTCCTTGTCGGTTACATTCAGCTTGGTCTAAACGCCGAGGCTCTGGTTTCGTCCTGCATCATGTCTATTCCTGCCTCTCTGGCTATCTCCAAGCTGCGATATCCCGAGACCGAGGAAACCCTCACCGCCGGACGCGTCGTCATTCCCGACGACGACGAGCACAGGGCCGAGAACGCACTTCACGCTTTTGCCAATGGTGCCTGGCTCGGTATCAAGATTGGCGGGACTATTGTCGCATCACTTCTCTGCATCATCGCCTTTGTTGGCCTGATCAATGCTCTCCTGACCTGGTGGGGTCGGTATCTCAATATCAATGATCCCACATTGACTCTGCAGACCATTCTTGGGTATATGCTCTACCCTGTGGCTTTCCTTTTGGGTGTCCCCCGAGACAATAATGACATTCTCTTGGTTGCCCGATTGATTGCTCAGAAAGTCATCACGGTAAGCGGCCATATATCCCTCTGGCGTGTCGATATTTTGAAGCGCCCAGGCCCTTTTTTTTAAAAAAAAAAAAAGAAAAAAAAAACTGAAGCGCCCTTTTACGCCCCGGTGCTAATGCAGTCATAGAACGAATACAACGGCTTCAACGATCTCACCAAAAACAAGACTTATGCTGGACTCTCCCCTCGCTCTCGACTCATTGCTACTTATGCGCTTTGTGGCTTCGGTAACATTGGCTCCTTGGGTATTCAAATTGGTATCCTCGGGCAGCTTGCTCCGTCGCGTGGTGGTGACGTCTCCAGGTTGGCTGTTTCGGCTCTCATCTCTGGTGTTGTTTCTACGTTGACATCAGCTACCGTTGCCGGTCTCGTTATTACGACGCAGATCACCAACTTCTCCAGCGCGCCTCAGCCTTAGAGTTGGAACAACTTTGACTGCCGCTCTGGCTATGGAAAGTTGTGCCGAACAAGAACATGTTTGCGTGCCTTTTCTTCTTCTTTTCTTTTGGTACAAACTATTGTTTTGAGCATACTATAGCTGTTGTATTCCTGGTCTTTGACATAACGATGAGAGAGATACCCTAATGTCCCTGGTTGCGGCGTTTGGTCTGCGGGCAACCATCTACTGCCTCAACCATGCGTCGAGAGAAGACATAAAAAAAGGCACTTGTGTGCAATGTCGGGACTTTTGAAGCTTCACCTGGCCACGTCACGTCTGGCTGTTTCCTGTTTGCTCGTGCCACACTGCTGGTGCGTTGCTGTATGTCAACAGTGCATCTACAAAGACTGGCATTGTAAATGCCGTGATGTCGTACATAGTCCATTGTAGATTGACTTGAGCATATTCCAACTGTTTGGCATGGCAGCCTCGGTACAACGCTCGGAATGGCACTTGGCTTGACAAAATTCATTGTCGGCTTTCTTCGCCTCTCCAAGAGGACGGGACCGGGAATCGCTTGGCGTCGGCCCGACATCGGGAGATTGTACTCCTTCGGGCGCACTGTCGATCCGAGACGAGGCCGAATCTCGACCAAACAAGGCGTAACCCAAGTAGTCCAACCAACGTAAAGGTCAACTCGCATCGCCTGGTCGCATCGCATCGCAATGACTGGAAGCATCTCTATTCGTAAATCCATCCGATGGCTCCCCGGGGAAGCAAGCGAGCCCACGTCAACCATGGTATTGACCTCTCCGCAGCGGCGGTTTGTAGATTTACGAATATTGAAGGACGGTCCTGGTGCTCTCCAGGGCACACAAGGTACGGACGACGACGACGACGACGACGACGTCTTTTCCAATGCAGCCAACAAGACACACTTAACTCTTGCCTTCTCCTCACTCGCCGCTCCGTTCAGATTCATGACAGCGGTAGCTAATTCGACGGAGACCCTCTCCCTCTATCAAGACTAGACTGGGCCATGGCGGGAAAGTCGTCCTCGAGCGCCCGCACCATCGACGGCAAACAGGTGTCCCACTCGAGATGGGTTCACTGGATCGATTCGCGAACAGAGCAGCCCGAAACGGCCTCTGACGAAGCCGTCACGTATCCGCAGCCCGACGGAAGCACGCTCGAAAAGGGGACCATGGTCAACCCCGAGACGGGCCGTGAGACAGCCTACGAGGAGGTCTGGGACGACGAGGACCCCGCGCCCACCACGGCACCGGCACCAGAGCAGCTGTGCGTTGTGTTGAGGCACGACGGCGGCCAAAGTCGCGGTCTTGTCGTGAGGCTGGGCCGGCACGTCCAGGGCCTCGTCAGGAGCGGGCCGCATCTCTCGCTGGAGAGGTGGGAGTGGAGGGGATCCCGTGCCGTGCGGACGGCAAGAATGGGCGCGGAGGAGCTGCCGTGCGAAGAGACGCTGGGGAGGGCCTACAAGCTCGGTGACCAGGTGACGGCCGGGTCGAGGACATGGACTGTCGTCGAAATAGCATAGTCTGCGACGAACCTGGTCTCCCCGGCCGTCTCCCTCCTCGGCTCGCTCACCAACTCATCCCGATGCCCCTACCTCACGCCAGAGTTGCTTCCCAATGGCCCTCCCCCGTCCGGGCCCCTGTCTTTTTTCTGCGCGCAGACACGCCATGCGCCTGAGGTCGCCGGCGTCGCCCGACGGCCCTCGTCATCACGCGAGCCCGACGTCTGCATTGTTGCGGGTGCTGTCGATGGCGACCGTATTGACCCTCAGCTCTTCTTTCCTGACATTCACCAATCACAACTCGTCAAGGTCCCGAAAAGTGGCAAGGAGGTGCTGAACCACCCGTTGGGAAGCTCTGTGGACGGAAGCAACGCTTGCACAAGTCGCTGCACTACGTACAAGAGGCACCTGGAAGGAAATGGAAATGGACTGCAGCTTGATATTACCATGCTGTGCAACCGTCTGCAGGTCGATCCCTCCGCCGGCATCCAACATGTCGCATCTCAAGCAGCGCGTCATGCCGGCACGAAGTACCCGCGCTTCCCGCATACGACTGGCTTTTCAGAGAGCCTCGGTGTTGGGGTGGCGCGAGGGATGCCGGGCGAAGGACTCGCAGGACACGCGGCCTCCGGGTCGTGCGATGAGGCGAGACGTGGGGAAGCCGAAGAGGCGAGAACCAGGAACTGGATTTCATACAGAATGACACGCACACACAGAATAAAAGAGAGGAGACGATGAAAAGCCGCTGCGGTATGCGAGTACCCAGACTTCTCTGGGTCTTCTTCATCTGTACGCTTGGTGTTGCGTGGTATGGAGGACCTACTTTCGGCTGGGCTTTGGCCCGGCACATCTATGCCGGGCGACTTGGTTGCTAATAATACCCTCCATTGTTGCGAGACGCCACTACGTACTGCTGCGTAGCTCAATGACCAGCTTCTGTAACGGTAGACTCGTGCCGGTCGCCAGGGGAATGAGGGTGCCGCCTAGGGTTAGGGTAAAGCCCGGCCTCCCGGGCCAACACTTCCTTGCTGCCACAGCAATCCCAGGCTTCGGAATCAACCACTTCGTGCATCACCGGGGCACCTAATCGTGCCCGCCCCACTTTATGTGGTTCGGCTAGCAAAAGCCCTCACCACCAAAGGTGGTGCTCGACAGCAAGGCGGGCCGGACACCAAGGCGGACCAATTTTCAACCTAGACGCGTTGAACCGCGAAAATGGCTGCAACTAGCGTCCAAACGGCAAAAAGCGATGTCGAATTACGTGTCAACGAGGCTCTTGAGTATATTGAGGAAAATCCAGGTGCAAAAATTCGCTCTGTGGCGAAGAAATTCAACGTGCCTCGTAGCCGGCTTCAACGACGTGCTAACGGCGTTCCTGCTAGGAAAGGCCATCCAGCAAGAAATACAATGCTTTCACGAGAAGAGGAAGTTGCTTTATGTAACTATATCGATCGCCTTGATAAGGCCAACTTCGCTGTACGACCTGAATTCATTACAGATGCTGCAAATTACATCCTAAAAGAGAGGGCATCGTCAACTGCCCCGCCTAGGCAAGTTGGAACGCGATGGACTACACGCTTTATCCAGCGGCATCACTATCATAAAGGTCTTCAAAAAAAGATTGATTCAAGTCGAAAAGCTTCAGAAGATGTGACAAGAGCTCTTTCTTATTACAACAAGCTTAAAGAGGCTATTCAGCAGTACGGAGTCCCTCCTGAAGATATCTGGAATATGGATGAGACTGGCTTTCGTATTGGAATGGGAAAGGACCATTTAGTTGTTACAAAGCGAAGAAGAGCGCATCTATTTTCAATGCCAGAAAACAGGGAGACTGCAACAGCAATAGAATGCATTTCTGCTGGCGGCAAAGTTATTCCTGCCTTTCTTATCCTTACAGGGCAAAAACACATGGAGTCCTGGTATCGGATAAAGGAGCTTGAAGCTAATACCAAAATAACAGTCTCACCAACCGGCTTTACGAATGACGAAATTGCAGTTGCTTGGATACAGCATTTTCAGGAATTTGCAACGCCAATAGGCAGATATCGCCTTTTAATCCTAGATGGCCACGGATCACACCATACAATTGAATTCGTTGAATACTGCGAACAGCACGATATAATTCCCTTTGCGTTGCCCTCGCACCTTACACACATCCTTCAACCTCTTGATGTTGTGATATTTCAGCCACTAAAGCATTATCATGCAAAGGCGTTGGATATCATTGTTCGAGACGGCGTGTTGAATATTACAAAGATTGAATTCCTTGCTTGCATTCAAGCTGTACGAAAACAAGCTTTCAAGACTACTACTATTCTCACAGCCTTTCGAAAAACTGGAATTTCACCCTACAATCCACAGCCTGTAATTGAGGCCCTTGAACAACGAGCTGCAATTTACACATCAACACCATCGCCGCCGCCGTTATATCACAACAACTCTTCCGACTTTGAGACGCCCACAACACTCAGGCAGATAAATAAGGTTGCCAACAAGCTAGGGGAGGTATTAGAAGACGATACATCCCTTGAGCCTGAGTTTGCACGCAATATCAGTCGTTTTATCCGCGGCTCTCTTATTGCAGCTGAAGTGGGGCGGGCACGATTAGTCGACACGCTCTGTGCCTGAAAAGCCGAGCCCCAGGCTCTACTGACTGGTTCTGCCACCGAAGCACCAAAAGACAACATGACTGACGCGGCCCCAGACTCCAAGGTCCTCCATCGCTCGCTCCTCGAGCACCCCGAAACCGTGACCTCGGCCGACGGGAGCTACTTCACCCTCTCCAACGGGCAGCGTATACTAGATGGCTGCGGCGGTGCCGCCGTGGCAGCCATTGGCCATGGCGACGCCGACGTCAAGGCGGCCGTCATGGAGCAAATGTCCAAGGTGGCCTACGCGCACACGCTCGCCTTCACGACAAGCAGCGCGGAGGAGCTCGCGGACACGCTGCTGGACGGCAACCCCTTTGGCCTGTGCAGGGCGTACTTTGTCGCGTCCGGGAGCGAGGCCGTGGACGCGGCCATGAAGCTCGCAAGGCAGTACTGGGTCGAGGCGGGCCAGCCGCACCGCAGACGCTTCGTCGCCAGGAGACAGGCCTACCACGGGAGCACGATTGGCTCCATGAGCGTCGGCAGCCACGTCGGCCGGCAGAGGCCCTACAAGGACGCCCTGCTGCTCAACAACGTCAGCTACGTCAGTCCCACGTACGCGTATCGCGTCCAGAGGCCGGGCGAGACGGAAGGTGCTTATGCGCGGCGCCTGGTGGCCGAGCTGGAGGCCGAGTTTGAGGCCGTCGGGCCCGAGACCATCATGGCCTTTGTGGCCGAGACGGTCGGCGGCGCAACGGTCGGCTGCATCACGCCCCCGAGGGGATACTTTGAGGGCGTCCGCCGGGCGTGCGACCGGCACGGCATCCTCCTGATTCTGGACGAGGTCATGTGCGGCTCCGGCCGGACAGGGACCTACTTTGCCTTTGCGCAGGAGGGGGATGTCCGGCCCGACATGGTGACGCTGGGCAAAGGTCTGGGCGGCGGATACACGCCCATGGCCGGCGTCCTCGTCCACCGGCGAGTCGTCGACGTCCTGGCGCGGGGATCGGGCACCTTCGTCCACGGACACACGTACCAGGCTCACCCCGTCTGCTGCGCCGCTGCTCTCGCCGTGCAGAGGGTCCTCAAGAGGGATCGTCTGGTGGCCGGCTGTGCTGAGAAGGGCAAGTGGCTGGAAGCGAGGCTGCGCGAGAGATTGGGGCCCAGGAGGTACGTGGGCGACATCCGCGGCAGAGGCCTGTTCTGGGCCTTGGAGTTTGTCAAGGACAAGGAGACCAAGGAGCCGTTCGCGCCCCGTCTCTGTTTCGCGAGCGTCATGAGGCGTGAGGCGCACAGGTTGGGCCTGGCCATCTATCCGGGGTCCGGCACGGCGGACGGACAGGCAGGGGATCATGTTGTGCTGGCGCCGCCGCTGAATGCGACTTGGGACGAGCTGGGGATCCTGGTGGACTTGTTGGAGAGCGCGTATGATGTTGTGGAGAAGACGCTTTCGTAGCCTTGCCTTGTTGGTTGTGGAGTTGAGGGGCCAACATTGACGCACTTCTTTCTTGATTTCTTTCTTTCTTTCTTTCTCTTAGTTCTTTCTTCCTTTTTTTCCTCTTGCCCACGCAGAGGCATGACACAAGTTACCTTTGATAATCCACCCTGCATCTGTTGAAGCTGTGAGATTCCTTCTTGTGGAAGGGGCATGATTGGGCCTAGCTCGTCGTGGCTGTGCGTGCCAACCCCGTCAAAGTGACACTCCCAAACGCGTGAACATGTCGAGATAGCAACAGCCTTCTGCATCAAGAGTTTCTCCGCTATGGCTATTGTACTCGAGCAGAGTAGCCAGCCAGCTTGCCCGGGGAGCAGAAACGCTTCAAGTATAATGATCGAAGGAGCAGCATATTTGCAATCTCGCCATCCCAAAACGTCACATCAGATCGAGTGGCAGTGGAAGAATTCATCACCGGCAACTTGGGCGGGTAGGAATGGCTCCTCGATCGAGTCCAGACCGAGCCAAGCCAAAAGCATCACCGGGTTCGGATTGTTCTCTCGGCGATCCAGTCCGGGTTCGCATATGGTCCCTGACAGAAGAGGACCTTTCCTCTGTCCCGCCTGCGTACATTTGACACGTCGTTCCGTGGGCGTGGACAGGCGGCATTGGCGCATGATTTGCGTGTGGGCAAACAGGATCGGGCGAGGTATTTACTATCCGTGGGTTCGAAAAACTAGATTCGCTGGATGGGGACCGCCGAGTTTTGATTTCCGCGACAGAATTCGTGGGCAATTCGGCGTGCGCTGTTTTGGAAGAAGAGTAAAATGGTCTCCAACTCGCCAGCCCCGGCCTCGGTCATCAACTCACCATGGAGACGGACAAGATGGCGATTCTAGAGCGCGGCATCATCACTTGACGGCGTAAGAGGACTAGCTGTGACGGACGTGTCAATGGCTTGTGTGGTTGCATGTTGACGAATACACGATGCATGGACGGCGTCTGGTGGCTTTCGACCGTTTCCCTTAAGTTGGCACCGTGGAGGTTGGCTTAGTAACCAAGAGCTCTCTTACGACGACGCTCGCGCCAGGCGGCACCCGGCACCGAGGCCAGGAGTTTCAGGCCCCAGGCAGCAACTTTTTGCTAGTTGTGCAGAATGTACTGCAGGGCTTAGCAGCAGGCCTAACAGCCTAAAAATCAGGGCGTGGTGGGGATCCTGCGCACCTGGCAAAAAGTTGCTGCTGCGCCCCGAGCAATTCACGCCGGCGTGCGCCGAACCGCCGCCGCTCCAATCGACGCCGCATCAAGACTTCCAAGTTCCCACGAACCGACGCCGGATGGCATTTTTAGCCTTCAACGATGGATTCATCCGACCGCCACACCTCGGCAATGTGTCTTGGTGACGACCGTGCGACTTTAAATTCATTCGCATCTTCGGCTTCTGCTCTCTTGCCTCCGCTCATGTGCTCGACAACCATCGCCCCTCCGCCATCGTCGTCATGATCAGCTTCGGCCGGCGCAGGATTCTCGCCGCCCTGCTCGCCGCCTTCGTCGTGCTGACCGTCTGGCGAGCGCGGCAGCTCAGCGCGCCCAGCGGCGGCCCAGCCCCGGCAGAGCCCGTGACGGAAACCCCCAAGTACGCGCCGGAGGAGGACTACTTCTGGAGGACCATCGAGCACAACTTCCCCGTTGACCCGAGTCGAATGCGGCCCCTGCCGACCTCTGCCGCGGCGACCTTGCCGCCAGTCCAGGCCAGGTTCCCGCCGGAATCCGCAGAGCAGAGGGCGGTCCGTCTGGGCCGACGAGACGACGTCAAAGAGTCCTTCGTCAAGTCGTGGAACGCCTACAAGAAACACGCCTGGCTTCACGACGAGGTCGCCCCCGTGTCGGGCAGTTCCAAGGACCCCTTTGGCGGATGGGGCGCCACGCTCATCGACGCCCTCGACACCCTCTGGATCATGGGGCTCAAGGACGAGTTCGAGTACGCGGCGTACGACGTCGAGAAGAAGGCCCTCTTCCTCTCCACCGCGTCCAGCGAGATCAACGTGTTCGAGACGACGATCCGCTTCCTGGGCGGCCTGCTGTCGGCCTACGACCTGAGCGGCGACCGGCGGCTGCTCGCCAAGGCGCACAACGTCGGCGACATGCTCTACAAGGCCTTTGACACGCCCAACCACCTGCCCGTCGCGCGCTGGGACCTGCACGACGCCGCGCGCGGCAGCAAGCAAGAGGCCCAGGCTTCCTCGCTGCTGGCCGAGATCGGCTCGCTCGCCATGGAGTTCACGCGCCTCAGCCTCCTCACCGAGGACCCCAAGTACTACGACGCCGTCCAGCACATCAGCGAGCTGCTCGCCGCGTCCCAGGCCGAGACCAAGCTGCCGGGCATGTGGCCCGTCGTCGTCGACGCCCGGCGCGGCCACTTTGACGCGGGGAGCACCTACACCCTCGGCGGCATGGCGGACAGCGCCTACGAATACCTCCCCAAGATGATGGCCCTGCTCGGCCAGCAGGACGGCATCTACCGCGACATGTACACGCGGAGCATGGAGGCCGCCGACGAGCACCTCTTCTACCGCCCCATGACGCCCACCGGCGAGGACATCCTCTTCCCGGGCTTCGTCGACGTCGACGCCGACGACCCGTCGCGCAAGAGGACGCTCCGCCCCGCCTCGGGCCACCTCACCTGCTTCACGGGCGGCATGCTCGCCCTCGGCGCGAGGCTCACCTCCCGCGGCGACCACCTCTCGTGGGCGGACAAGCTCACCAACGGCTGCGTGTGGGCGTACGGGTCCTTCGCGACGGGCGTCATGCCCGAGACCTTTTACCTCACCCCCTGCGCCGGCAGGGACGCCTGCCCCTGGGACGCGACCAAGTGGCTGGCCGACGTGGCCAGCGCCCACGGCTCCGGGGACAAGGAGGCGCAGGCCATCGTCGCAAAGGAGCGCCTCCCCCAAGGCTTCTCCAGGATCATGGACGCGCGGTACATCCTGCGCCCCGAGGCCATCGAGAGCGTCTTCATCATGTACCGCGTCACCGGCGACAGGGCCTGGCAGGACAAGGCCTGGGACATGTGGAAGGCAATCGACAACCTGACGTCGACGAAGCTGGCCAACAGCGCCGTGCGCAGCATGAACCCCCCCGAGGGTGAGGAGGTGGAAATGGCCGACTCCATGGAGAGTTTCTGGCTCGGCGAGACCCTCAAGTACTTCTACCTGATATTTTCGGAGCCCGAGCTGATCAGCCTGGACGAGTGGGTGTTCAACACCGAGGCCCATCCGTTCAAGAGGTTGCGGTAGCACGTGTGACTCAGTCCTTTGGCCCGCCTCGGCGGCGGCTCATGGCTCAATCAAATCGCTTCATGGATTCTTGCAACGTGCCCCTCCCCTTCGCTATGCATTGCTATGGTAATAAATAGTCCCGCCGTAAAAAAAAGGGTGGCCAACGCCAAAAGTGAAAAAAGGAACCTCGCTGTGCTGCGAGGGTGATGCCATCTCATGACCCGCTGCCATGCCAGTCCTAACCCCTGCCCCTGCCCCGTCTTGCTCGTGAGCTTCAAATCTCCTTGTCCTTTCCCTTGACTCCATCCCTGTCCGCTGCGGCAGCGTCGTCATCAACCTGCTGGCCCGTGCTGTCGTGCTCCTTTACCGATTCCTCCGGGGTGGCTTCCTTTTCCCTCTTCCGCTCCAGCTTCTTGATGGCATCGCGGGTGAGCGCCTGTCTCTCCAGCAGCTCCACGACATCCTTTTTGCGCGTCTTTCTGTCCCCAAACATAATCACCAGCCCGGCCGTCAAATTACACGTGATGCTCACGCACAGAATCACCGTGGTGATGGCGAATGGACGGTGGTGATAGTCGATCCCCCAGGTTGTTGCGCCCAGCGAAATTTGCAGACACGAGTGGCAGTCCAGCAGGACGATGATGGCGATGAGGTGGCCGAGTGGGAAGGCGTGGTGGGTAAATGTCTCGTGCGGTTTGTAGAAACTGTGCGACTTGGAGAGCTTGGTTTGATGGTGTTGGAGGGATTTGCGCTGCTTGGGCGTAAGGTAGTCGTAGTCGAGGGAGTAGGTTTCGGATTTGGCGTCTTCAAGGTCGATTTCGGGGTTGTTGTCGCCGTCCATGGTGACGGGAGGTATGCCGTCGGCGTTGGAAGGTTGGTGCACGATTGGAAAGTCGTTGGATCGTGCTGTCTTTTGTTGCTCGTCTTGGGGGGGTGGAGGAGGAGGGGTGCTTGGTTTCTTTTCCGAGGGATCCGGGTTTTGCGCATCGGGCGTGGAATCGGTTCGTGCGAGTTCCTTGGCAGCCTTCTTCTTTGCGTTGGCAATCTTGCGGGAGTATCGTGCGATGAAGATCATGTGGTAAGTATCGACGGCTCGGAAGGGCGCCAGGCCGTCGCCCATGATGGCAAACAGCGCAACCAGGACGCTGTCGATGATGTGGATAGCGTAGACCTGTTGTTCGCCTACGTAGATCCATCCAATGAGAAACAGAACCCAGGCCAAACCAAACAGGGTAATCAGCGTCGCGTAGAGCGTCACGAAGAAACCCAGGGGCCGCCGAACGTATTGTCCGAATCCCTTCATCTGCCGCTTGAATCGGGACCGTCGTGAATGCAACATGTGGCGAACGTAATCATCTAGTTCCCACTTCTCGGCTGCCGACCAGCCTTCTAGCTTTCTTCCGTGGGGCAGCGCCGCATAGTGCGAGTCTGATAGTCGCGAGGTAATGGTATCTGTCCGTTGGAGGTAGGGTTTTTTGTCTTCTTCTTCTTCTTCTTCTTCTTCTTCTTCCCCCTTCTCCTCTGGTCCAGCGGCTTCTTCTTCCTCCTCTTCCTCTTCGCGAATTGTTGGCGCTTGCTCTGGTGGCTGAATGGGTTCCTTTGCTGAGGTTGGTCGTGGCATGGGCGCATCCGTCTGGGAGAGGACATATGTCGGCCGTCGATTCACCCAGCTTCCTAGGTCAGGGACAAAGAGAGAATTTTGCACGTTGGTCAGTGTTGACAGGGTCTGGACCTCGGGATCTGCATTCGAGATTAGTGACTCGGTCAAAAACCAGCTGCGAGTGGCGAGGCCAAGCGGCACCAGACATACCAATAATGTCCAACCAGTCCACAAGCTCATCGTTGTACTCGTCCGTTTCGCCCGAACCTACCCCCTCGGCCGGCGGCGCAGGCGCAGGAGCAGCTACAGACGCCCGTCTGAAACTCGGTTTCAATAGCCTCCCGACAATGCCCCTCCTCGGCTTTGCACTGTCAGCTTCATCAGCGGCGGCTTCCCCATCACTGTGCCTTCTATCAAGCGCCGGGTCATGCGGAGAGGCCACACCCGGACCCGAAGGCGACGTCCCTTCCAACCCCAACTCGGCCATGGTCGGTCGTGCTCCTTCCTCGGTCAGTCTGGGCAGCGCAATCTGCGGCTGCGCGCGGCGGAAGTTCCTCGCACCCCTGGCTGCCACGTCTCTCACGGGGGCTGGTGCCGGCTCGGGCTGCGAAGCACTCCGCGGTCTGGCTCTCCGTGGGGCCTCATCTCTTCCATTGCGTCCTCCTTTTTGCTGGGGAGAGGGTGCAGCATCTTGTATACTGGACGTAGACTGTGATAGACTAGGGGAGCTTCGTCGGATCCTAATGCTAGGTCGTCGCGAGCGGTCTGGAGCATGGGCGTCGAACGTTGCACCCCCGCCGCTGGGCCAGCCGTGGGAGGCTGTAGAGACTCGTGACCCTGGCAGAGGGGCCGAGCCGAGAGGACCGAAATACTCGTCGGCCGGGGCATCCAGCTCAGATGGTGTTGCTGGCCCGGCAAGGCTGGCAGCCGAGACGGCGGGAGCTCGGTTGCGGTCTGAGGAGGACTGGAGAGGGCGCGACTGAGACGGGCCAGCATTGAGATTCGAATCCATGGGGATTGGAACCGGTCGCTGCCGTCGAAACAGTGGCGGACAGACAATGAGGGGGCGCGGTAGAGAGGGAGACGCGTCCGATGCGGCTTGAGGAGCAGACGAGGTGTGCAAAGAAAACCAGGACAGCCCAACGTTAATAAGTGTTCAAATGCCGTGACGGAGTCGTGGACGCTGGACAGGGAACAGGGGGCAAAAGAGACTACAGCGGCACTTGCCATCGCTGCGGCGGGCGCTAATGGATACCGTTCAACCACTGTGTCCACTAAAAGCCCACTGTGAGCCCACTACGAGCCCACCGTACTAATAGACGCCAGGGGTCCTGAAGTACCGATTGGGGGGTCCGAGCGCCGTGACGTCAGTTGATTGATGTGGTACGTAGCTTCGGTGCTTTGTTTTGCCAAGGCTGGGTCATGGATGAAAAACCCAGTCACATCCCTTAGTGAGGCATGACAACTCGCTCGCAGGCATGATTCCGTACGTCAACCGGTTGGCCAGGACACGGACCGTCACTGGCACCCGCTTCAAAGTCGCGTCACATGCCTCGATTCACCGGTAACAATGGTAGAACCCGGCGCGCCCTTCAAACGCTCCCCGTGTCTTCCTGCATGCTCGAGTACGCTAGCTAAATCAATGCTCCAGGCAGTATTCCGTGATATATATATATATATATATATACATATATATAGACGATTAAATGCCGCAGAAAAAAACAAAATAAATGAAGCTGCCGCCTTCTTCCATGCTCATCGCTCCCGCTCCGAATTCGCAATCGCCGACTCGACAGCCTCTTGCAAATCAAAATGGAAATAAGGCCGGTTCAGTCCCTGGACGGCCACCAACTTTGCACTGCCCGGGTTCCGAGGCACGTCCTTGTCTGAGGGCTGTGATATGTCCGATGCGGCTTGTTCAACGTCATACTCGCGGACCGACTTCTTTTCGCCCATCTCAGCTGCCTCGGCCGCCCTGGACGCGCTGTCGGATCCTCCCAGGTCGGCAATGCTAAAGATGGTCTTCCAGTGCGCGGCGCCCTCTCCGGGAGCCGGCCTGGGAGACCGGAATCCAAAGCCGGCTGCCGCCAGCGCTCTCTTGGTCCATCGGTTCTCAATGTTGGCGAAATGCCAGTCCACCGCGTCGGGGGCGGCGTAGCGATCCAGCTGGTTGCGCACGTCGATCAAGGCTTGCGCGGCGGTCACGTCGATGTTGTTGACTGAGGAGAAGTCGAGTATGACGGCTTTCAGAGTTGGCCGCGTGTCAACCAGGTCAGCATCCTGGTTGCGCGGTGAACTGTCGTTCCAGGCGCGGTCCTGTTGTATGGTTAGTCACATCTTGCCAGCACACAACGGTTCCAGAGGCCAGCAAATGTGCGTTCAAACTGTAACAAAAGACGGCGTACGAACCCCTAACTTCCCCAGCAGCGTGGGGTCTGTCCGCCGGGTTTCCGCAAAGATGACTTCGGTGAGGTGGTTCAGATATCGGCTCGCGTTGGGGTAGTTGAAGCCTTCCGCGAATCGGTAAATGTAGACACCGGGATGAGGGCTCTTGACCACCACTCTGGGGTTGGATCCATCTTCGTGGTCAAGAGGCAGGAACCCCTTTCTCAGCGACTCTCCCGACTCTTCGGCAAAGGCAGAGTCGCCAGCCTGCTTCAGGTCCTGGCGGGCTGTCGCCGTGCGAATGCGGGCAACGCCGAGAACCCTGCCGCGGCTCAGGAACAGGCGCCAAACCAGCACGGCGGCAGAGACGGCCATGGTCGTGTAGATCCCATTTTCAATCGTCGTGAACACCGTCACCAGCACTCCAGCCAGGAATATGGGCACCTCCAACGGAGAGACTCGCCAAAAGTGGAAGATGACTTTTGGGGGGGTGATGACATCGCCCACGGCGTGGATGATGACGGCGGCAAGTGCGGCGTTGGGGATGTAGTAGAACACTGCAGGCAGCGCATACAAGGCCAGCAACACGACTAGAGCCGTAATCACACCGGCAAAGGGGGTCCGAACACCAGCCTTGGACTTGATGGCGGTTCTCGAGAAGGATCCAGTCGCAGGGTAAGCGCCAAGGAACGGGCCAAGCAGATTGGTAACACCGATGGCAACGAGCTCCTGCGACGGATCAATAACGTAGTTGTTGATGCGGCCAAAAGACTTGGAGATGGAGATGTGTTCAATGAGCATGACGATGACAGCAGCAGGGATCTCCGAGGCAAATGCTTGGATGATTGACACGTTCACAGCTGGAACAGCAGTATGTTGAAAGCCTAGCCAGCCATCATGTTAGTTTCTGACACAGTCAGTGCTCTCACGACCTATCAAAGGAGGGGGGGAGGCCTGCCGTTTGTCCATTACCTCGGGGTACGTCCTTGATGAGACTGAAGCTCGGCTTCTTCTTGTGGCTGACGTTGACACCGGCACTGATGGCAGTGTACAACAAGATGACGAAGACGGTGCGAAGAGTCGAGAGGAAGAAATACGTCTTGGCACGCTGGGGCTGCTTCTTGGACAGGAAGGAACAAGCTCCTCGAATCAGATACAACATCGACAGAGCCGTCAGACCGAGCGCGGCGTCCAGCTTGGTGGTTGGCAGGCCCTTCAAGCTATTGATAATGACCAGGTACGGCGCGTCTCTGGTATTGACGCCGCCGATGCCCATCAACTTGGGAACCTGGCCGGCGATGATGTTGACGGCAGATCCCGTCATGAAAGCGCAAATGGCCGGGAGCGAGATGAACTCGACAAGCCAGCCAAGGCGAGCGAGCCCGAGGAAAAGAATGATGGCTCCCGTGATGATGGCAAGCGCAGATGCGACAACGTGGCCGGGAACGTTGGGGAGTTCATCCTTGGCTTTGAGGACGATATTTCCAGTAACCTGAGACATGACGGCGACGGGCTGTGCGCGACACGACGTGTTAGCATTCGCGATGCATCCAACGCAACGTGTAGTTTTGCGCCGTGATTTCCCAAACTCACACCGATGGTGATGTCTTTTGAAGTAGCAAAGAACCAATAGATTAAGACTCCCATGAAGGACGTGTACAGTCCATATTCAACATCGAGTTGAGCCAGCTGGGCATATGCCATTCCCTGGGGAACGACAACAGCGCCGACGGTAATGCCTGAATGATGATTAAATTTAATGCCGCGCCATGGCCACGGCCCGATAAGCTTCAGGACCAGACAGCAAAGGAGCAGCTCACCCGCAACGAGGTCGCCAATCAGCCAAGTCAGATTGTACTTGCCGATCCAGCGAACAAAAGGGAACAGATTGACCAAGTAATCGACCAGACCTCGGAACGAGGGCGTTACCTCGGCAAGGTATTCCGCGACGGTGGGCTCTTCCTCGATGAACAGATCCGTGTTCGATATTGACGGGACGTCGTCATCTCGATTATCGGAGTCGTAGCCTACGGCCTTGGCCAGACGGCCCTTGATGAGTGGCGTGGACGGCATGACGACGCGGGTCAAGGACTGGGGCTCCCAGGATCGTGGGCGAGACGAGCAGTTGGCCGAGGGAATGAAAATCCCGAGTCGGCTGCAGAGTGCGGCGGACGCGGAGAAGCCAACAATTTGATGTCTGTTTGGGCGGACAAGATGATACGACAGACAGCCTTGTGACGGCAACAAGAAGGCGGCTCAGCCCAGCACGAGGTGGCAGTGGTGCGGAAGGAACCTTGGATCTGACGGGAGGCTGTGCTCGTTTTTCCCATTTAATCCACCACGGGCAAGCGCCAAGTGAGAATGAATGAGACTGCAACAGATATCTGGACCGGCAGCCTGGCGAGGAGGCATGGTCTCGCCATCGCGTGGTCGGACTCACTCGCAGCAACGAGGGCCAACTCTATCTCGATCATGACACGGGTCGCCGGGCCGCGGCCGAAGACTTTTATTTAAGCTCGGATTGCGTGCTAGCATTGGCATTTGGGCGCCAGTTTTGGTTTCCAGAAACGGAGAAGCTGGGATCGCGTGCTGGCAAGGAAGACTGGATGAGCCAATATGCGCACGACATCATCATTCGCCTGGCCCGCCAAACCCGCATAAAAATGCCCACATGGCAAACGCTCCGCACAGACCGAGGGGGTAGCGTCCAGCCACGGCCGTGTTTCAACTCCAGTTCGCTGATTGATAGTACGTACGTAGTCGCTATCGCCGCCGAGATTTGGGACACGAGAGGCACGTGGAGGTCGAACCGTCGCAGTCGTCGCCGTGTGCCTCGAGAAAACGCCAAAAGAATGCAGGCAGGCAGCCTTGCCCGCTCCTCGGCCCTTTCCACGCACGTCTGGGACAATGCTCTTCCTGCTGAACTGGCTCAGCTGCCTTGTCTGAAACCGAGAGGGGTCGACTGGTCTCGGCTCGGTCGGCGTACCACAGCGTTCCAGTCTCTAGCTTTTCCCGAGGAGCTGAACAGCGTGGCCCTCACAGATGCTTGAGATATTTTTCATCCTCTTCTTGATACACGACTTGATAAGTGATGATGGCTTTGGAACGGAGGTGGGGGATTACGTCGTGCGTCGTGCGTCGCGCGCATGCTCGACGGGCGACGAATCCCAAAAAAGCACACCGAGCTGGCCAAGGCCAGTCACGGCTCACGCAACGCCCACATGCCCCCGTTATCGTATATAACGGGGACCTTGGTCCTCTTAGCATAATAACTAACTAGTTAAACACTAGACCAGACCAAAATAAACACTAGACCAGAACCAACGTTGACATAAACAACAAACTTGGATTCAGCTTTTTAGACATGATTCGTTTTCACAGGGAGAATGCAGCGTGATGTTGCGGCGTCGTTTATTGAAGTAAAAACCCGCCAGTGTATTGAAGTACTCAAGCAGCCAGCTAAGCACTTGGTAGCACTACTCCGTATCTGAATCGAAAACACGACGATACAGGTTCCAGACAAGGGGGGAATGAAACGCTCCTCCATCGAATGCAGCTCATCTCAAAGCTAAAGCTACCTGCTACCTGTTGACCTGCAAGGTTCCAATCAACTCCAACTCGGAGTATCATTTTCCCACGGGCCATGGGCCATGGCCATGGCTGTTCACGACGTCGCCTGTCGGCCTTCAGCTCGCCTAGAACATGGCTTCCTGTCGCGTTCCGCCCAACTTTGGCGCCGCCGTTGTTACAATTCACGATGTCCATCAAGGGCCGATAAAGGCACTCTGCTCTGGTCTGCTCCGCGGTCTGCTCTCCGCAGGGCACGCCTCCACCGTCTGTATCGCGCTCGCTGTCCACGCAATGCTGTTTGATTCTGCCCGCCGTCTTGCCCACCGATTTGGCCATGCAACCAATAGCCGCGGTAGAATTCTTCTTTTGAAATAAATTGCCAGCTATACAGCCGAAGGTCAACTTCTGTGCAACAGCTCCCCGTGAGAAAATGGCCAAGACCGACTCGGCGAGAAGAAGCCAACAAGCACGCCGGTCTTCATGATGAGACCATGTTCAAGGAGATGTTGTAAAGTAGCAGTCTTGAGTGGTGCCGGTAGTTGGTGGATGGTAGCCACGCGCGTGCAGCATCCTCCTGTATCGTGAGTCCTCCGAGTTTCTTTGCGAAACGATCCGTCAACCTCCCATGCAGCTGCGTCTACGACTCGCCCAGCCCCGAGTCATGCTCGTACCCAAGAGGACGCGTGCAAAGCTGCCATTCACGTCTCGTGGTTGGCAAGACAAGCCTTGGATACGGAATTTTGTTGCCAGGGTGTCAAGAGTCCTGGCGGCAGCAAATGCATCATCGTCGCATTTAATTTATGTGCCACAGCCAACGAGGCGCAGCAAAACGGCCAGGTACTGCATGGTAGTATGTACGGAGTACTACTAGTACAAACCCCCCTCCCACGGCATTGTATTCTTTTTTAAGCACCCACGGCGTGGGGTCACGATCTTGGCCGGCTCGTATGCAGGGGTCTCTCGGTAATTCGCCGGATTTGAGCCCCCAAGTTCACTTCAACGACCCACCAGCCATGGGCCATGGTCATGAACGTGCCGCATAATGGATTGTGGCGCTCACTATGAGGCAAGGCGAAAACACACAGTTATTTCCTCAACTTTGATGGTTGACAGTTTCTTCTGTACATGTTTATTTAATCAAGCTGTGTAGTACAATTTGTATTTCTGGGTTACAAGTCCCGTGTAATCGGCAGACCGGTCAGGGATCAACGACCCGCAAACAGAAAGCGGTGCCGTCAAGGTGAACCCTCGCGTGATATTCCGAGCCTTTGCAACCGTGACCAGTACATCCGGTTATCCCTGTTTAATCTATGAGAATATGGAAAAAGAGACGCTGACGGGTGGTAAATGCGGCGGGTATATGGCATTTAAAGCAGGGCAAAAGAGCCAGCAACGACAGCCAAAGCCAAGTAGACCGCGCCAGAAAACTTCTCAACGGTAGAAGATGCCCCCTTGGCCGTTGTGGAAGCAGCACCGCCAGCACCAGCGGTGCTCGAACCAGAGTCAGCGTTGGTCTTTGAACCGCCAGAGGTACCTGAGCCGTTGGAATGGTCAGAGCCAGGGCTGCCGGCGCCGCCGGTAGACGTAGGCTTGGAAGAACCACTGGCAGTAAAGCTGGCAGTGCTGTCAGCACTAGAGGAATTGCTGGAAGCTCGAGCCTTGGACTTGAAGGTCTTGGGGCAGGTCAGGTCGAAGAGAGGCTTGGTGGAGAGGTCTTTGGTGATGGCGAACTTGACCTTGTTGTCGGGGTTGGAATCGCGAATGTTGTACCAGAAAGTAGGCACTTTGTTGAATAGCTGACGGCAGCCAACTTCGTCCCAGTATGTTTTTGCGTTCTCAACAGATGGAACAGCCTGATCCCAATTAGGCCCGGTGGTTGGCCATCCGGTCTCAGTCACCCATACAGGCTTGCCGCCGACAGCAGCAATGGTAGCTTCATAGGCGCGATCAAATAGGCTTCCAGCATTGTCGATGCCGTTGGATTTCCCATTTTCGTAGAAAGGATATTCGTCCACCCCCACCCAGTCCAGGGCGTCGATAACCATCTTGGCGGAGGTATTGGTCCATGAATCCCAAGTGTCCACGTGGCCCACGGGGACCTTGCCCAAGGCACTGTCCTTGAACGCTTTCTTGTACGTCTCGATGAACTTGACAATGGTGGCAGGGGAATTGCCGACGCCGGCCTTGTTCTTGTTACCTGTGACTGAATCCCGATACAAATCTTCTGAGCCAATGGAAATTCCTATCACGGTATCCGTGAACTTGGTGCCGTACTTCGTCTCAGCCTTGTGCAGGGCACTGATCTCCTTGTCGATGTTGTCGGTGCCCGAGGCCCAGACACCCAGGAGCAACTTGGTCCCGGTTTCAATGGCGGCCTCGAAAGCCTCGATGGGGTCGTCCTGTGAGTAGGCCTGAATGTTGGTGTAGAGGCGGACAGCGTTGAAGGTCCCAGGGGCGCCAGTGAGGCCCTGGGCGGCCTTCATCTCGTCAACGAAGTCCTTCTTGAACTTGGCAGATCGGTCGGCAAGGGTTGCTCCCGAGTTGAAACCGAGGTAGTTGGATGCGGCCGAGGCACCCATGGCCATGAAGCCAGTGAGGACAGTAGTTGGCAGATGCATTGTGAGCTGGTCTTTTTCTTAAAAAAAAAATTCGACAATATCCCTTCTTTTTGCTGGGGGGAGCGAGGAAGCCCAGCACGATCCGATCGAAATGACAAAAGTGAGACTGGTCGAGATTCAAGGAGTGATTTCCCAAGTTCTTGAATGATTGTGTTGCGGAATCTAAAGTGTCATTAAGAAGGGACTATGAGGCAAAGATGGAGCGAAAAAACAAAAAGAATGACGCGGAAAGAAGGAGTCAAGGAGTAAGAAAGAAACGGCACCTTGTTGTACTCATGTGAAGGATAAATGAAGGGAAAAGGAGAAAGGAACCGGCTGGTGCACCCGTCCAGAGTAAGGCGGTCAATCTAGATTGCAACCCTTGTGCACAGGGTACAAGGGGTCAGGCGAATGACTGCGCCGGTACGAAGCACAGAGCACCCAGGCAGCTGCTGTTTTGCTGCCAGACGGGACAATGGTGATGCACTGGGCTAGCCCCATGGCCCACAAATTACCGAGTCTGTACTTGGTGTTTACTCCAGCGATTGCACGGGGTATCGGCGGGTGTGGAGAGGGCTAAGATGAACTGAGGGGTGCCTGAGGGTTGGCTTCTCTCCTGTCTTTTCCCCTTATTACCTGGTACTTACTTACTTAAGTACCTTAAGTACTTAAGTAGGTAAGTACCTAGGTACTTAAGTGCTAGTACTCGAGTACTTACTTAAGTACCTTAAGTCAGGTAGGTACCTAGGTAGTTTTTACCAGTAACGCTTACACGCAGCGGCCTGTGAGGCCAGTCGTTAACAACTACGGAGTAGCGGCAATCCCACGCAGCGAATACTAATAACAAACGTCCAGCCGCCCCAATTCCCGTCGAGTCCACCCCCTGGCAGGCAGCCAGCCCCCACTTCCTAGCAGAAAGGATGGCGCTCATTCCCCCAACTGGCGGTACAGCACACGCTCCCCCCGGGGGCCAGGGGCACAACAGCAAGAGCTTGGTCGGTCATAGTTGATTGTCGATTGGTAAGTCAACATCTAGCCGGAAATGCACAATTTGGCGCACCAGGCATCAATCACGTTTGTTAGAGGTCCCAATTGCGGCCTGGAGTTAATGGGATGTCGTAAATGACATGACGGAAGGTAATGCTCTGCACTGCAATTACTAAGTTGTTTTTTTCTGTTGACCCTATTCTTATGGGCTTGTAACTTGGGCCGTGTTGTGCTCCACTATCTTACCCTCCTCTTTAGGCGATTTTGGTGGGGAACCCCTCGGTCCAGCGCCGAAAAGTGGGGAAGTTCTCAGGTCAGCTCCCAGGGCACCAACGAACGGACGACGGGCAGCTCCCTTGGAAGGCACAAGCTAGGGTCACAGTTGGCGACATTTTGTACGGAAGGTGGAGCTTCCCTAGGCGCGCGCTCCGGACACCTACCATCACCGTAGGTACACTTGTCGGTTTTTATTTTTATTTATTTGTATTAATCATTTTAAAAACCCTAGTGAAAAGCATAAGTAAAAAGTGGTGAGCAACCTTCTTTTGCTTTTTTAGTGCTGCTATTTCTGAAAAAAAAAATACTAAAGCAAGTCTTGCTGTGGCAAAAATGCGAAAAAAGTAAAGCTGCATGTACGACCTCCTTCCTCCTGCCTTGTTCCTTCCCCCTCTTCCCTCCTCGTGTCGGCCCTCGGGTATCAGTGATCACCACCTCTCGAGTCGTCACGTGGTCATCATTGTATCGCCCTTACTTCGAGAAATCCTCGAGGTTTGGTATTCGTACCTCCAAACAGCCTGATCCGGTCGTCTGGCTGCGATTTGGTTTTGTAACCAACTCCTGACGCTCCAAGATATGCCTTTCTACCCTCCGTCATGGGTTCCTCAGCTTCCCGAAATTCCTGACTCCATCTCATTGGAAACATTCATGTTCGACAAGCGATACGGTCGCCACCCAGTGCATCAGTCTCGCGCTCCGTTCACAGATGGACTCACCGGCAGGGCCTATAGTATTTTGGACGTGAAAGAGCGTGTTGACTTTCTCTCACGTGCTCTATCCAAGGAGCTCAGCTTCAAAACTCAACAAGGCTCAGAGTGGGACAAGGTGGTTGCATGCTTTAGTCTTAACTGCATTGACTATTTAACCCTGGCCTGGGCTGTCCATCGACTTGGAGGCATCTTAACCTGCGTAAACGCCTCGTACAATGCCGGCGAACTGAGGTTTCAATTGAAGGATTCCGGGGCCAAGGCCGTCTTCACCTGCCTCCCCCTACTCAAGACAACAATGGAAGCAGTGGAGGGAATCGGCATCCCCAGGCTTCGAATTTTCCTCCACGAACTCGCTTCGAGCATTACATCCGGCCTCTGCAACCCTGGCCTACAAACAACAGACGACTTGATCAGAGCGGGTGCCAAATTGCCTTCTTTCAAGCCTGCCGACTCAGATTGGAGGAAGGGAGATGGCGCGAAGCGGATTGCATTCCTTTGCTACAGCAGCGGAACTTCTGGTCTCCCCAAGGGCGTCATGATATCGCACAGAAACGTCATTGCTAATACCATTCAGTTCGTTGTTCATGGAATGCCGAACCGAGAGGCCATTAAGAAACAGCTCGGTGGGGGAGACTACACGGAGAGCTGCCTAGGGCTCCTGCCAATGTCGCATATTTACGGCCTGGTCGTTGTTTGCCATGTTGGTCCTTATCGAGGAGACGGAGTTGTCGTTCTTCCCCGATATGATTTCAAGCTTTTACTCCAGACTATTCAGGACTTCAAGATAGAAATGTTGTATCTCGTCCCGCCCATGATTCTTCATATGACAAAGCAAGCCGACATCGTCAAGCAATTTGACATGTCGTCGGTCCGGGCAGCCTTCACGGGAGCCGCGCCCCTAAGGGAGGATACAGCGAAGGACTTTCTAAGGGTCCTCCCCAACGTTGTGCTTCTCCAGGGTTACGGACTCACAGAGACCTCGACAGTTGTCTGCAAAACTGTGCCCGAGGATATCTATTTGGGAGGATCTGGCTCACTCCTACCTGGATATGTCGCCCGGATCGTTACTCCCGAGGGTGAAGAGGTGGAAGAGTACAACAAGACTGGTGAGCTTTGGGTACATTCTCCGTCTGTTGTTGTCGGATATCTCAACAACAAAAAGGCCACTGATGAGACGTTTGTGATTGCTGACGACGGGTTGCGATACATGAGAACGGGGGATGAGGCACTCGTGATGAAGAGTCAAGAGGGCAACGAGCACATTTTCATTACGGACAGAATCAAGGAGTAGGTCGAAGATGACGCGCTTTGCACTACACTGACTGATCTAACTGCATTCTCAGGTTAATCAAAGTCAAGGGGCATCAGGTTGCCCCAGCCGAGCTGGAAGGCCATCTTCTGACGCATCCCGCTGTGAATGACTGTGCAGTTATTGCAGTCCCTGCTGAACGAGAAGGGGAAGTACCAAAAGCCTTCGTTGTGAAAAAGCCTGGCGTCAAAGGGGTCGATGGTGACATCATTGAGAGCATCAAGAAGCATGTTGCCGATCATAAGAGTGATTACAAGCGACTGAGAGGTGGTGTAGAATTCGTTGATGCGGTACCGAGAAATCCCAGCGGGAAGATCTTGAGACGTCTGATCAGAGACACAGAACTGGCCAAAGCAAAGCGCGGGCAGGCCAAGATTTAAGTTTGTGGACGTGTCCGAGCAAAGGTTTGTTAGACTGCAGCAGCGGCAGTTCATGTATTTGCTACTTGAAACTTGCAATTTCCTCTTCCATGGTCTGATGCGGGACTGGACTCCTGCTGAGGTACAAGGCCCGGTCGTCCTGCTCACATCGTCGGGCTTGCGCTATCTTATTAAACTGTCGACACAGCCCCTAATTCTTCCGTTGCTCTGAAGACAAATGTCATACCGAGAACGAATTTGGTGTAACAACGACCGACGAGTTGCCGGGCATTCCGGGCTAACACGTGAAATGAACAAGGATAGGGCATGTATCATGACAAGCGTTCAATGAGGAGTTACGGTTGCCACCTCGGCCTCATCGACGTCGCAATTCCTCCCGAGAACTTACCGGCCACATTCTATAAGCTGAAACATGCCCTCAACAGCCCTCAGATTTGCCGATCATGCTGCTGGGAAGCGCTTGAACAAACGCGGCCACTTGGACGGCTACCAGCCGTGCCAACGCCAGTCAATTTGGCGTCGACGAATACCGTCGTGACAACTTCATTGACTGTCTACTGCCGTCTTCATTATGCGCTCAGCTTGGCTGCTGCGCAACCTCACAAGGCGTGGTAAGCTCCAGTCTGCCTTGCATCTGCCTCGCAAGCTGCTCACGCTACACTTGAAGTCTCGCCTACTCAAGTATATATAGCCTGCGTGCTGGCTTGAACTTTGTAGTCGTGAGCACAAACGACAACGGCAGTGCGGCAACACGACTCCATTCCTTCTCTCTCGCCGATGATTGTACAAGGCACTTGGGTACAGGTGCCAAACGAAGCCACTCGTCAGGCACTGCGTTTTGTTTGACCGAAGCAACGGAGCACAGGTATAAATGACAGCTACTGTCCTCCGCATCTTCAGGCTATTAACGTTACTACATCAATCGTCAACCTTGTTCTGCCGCCTGCCCTCCGCAAGACATGGCGACACCAGCTCAGGCATATACTGCTAATGAAGCCACAAATGCACGCATTCCTTACCGAGTGACAGTGACCCTCATTTCCAGGGGAACTAGGAGTGAATCGTGTTGCGTACCACGTATTCCAATCTTTTACAGGCATGAATCCTCAGCACTCAAGTCGTCCTTCGCCCATTCTGTCTTCGCGCCGCCTAGGCACCAGCCTCCAGCCGTGTCTTGAATCGAAGCATCAGCGGGCCCTTGTCCCAGATAATGAAGTTTCTCTGTTTCATGTGCCAATCATCTTGCCCTTCGAGTACCTCGAAGTCAAACCGGTACAGCATGCGGCTGATGACGACGCGCAGCTCGTTCATGGCAAGATTCTTGCCAATGCAATCTCTAGAGCCATGGCTGAATGGCCTGAATACTGCGTGATTGTCGTCTTTGAAACGCTCGTCGTAGAGTGGATGAGAGGGTGCCAGCCATCGCTCTGGAACGAAGGACTCTGGGTCTTTGAAGTGCCTGGGGTTGCGGAACGTTGCCCACTGGTAGACGGAAACCAATGTCTGAAACATTGTCAGTACTATATTATGAGGCAAACCGTACACGGAAGCAAAGCCGGAGATGCAGAGTCATTGGCTTACATTGGGAGGTATATAAGTTCCCTCGATAAAGTCGCCGGGGGAGACGCGAGCACTTGTTTCTGCGGCAGGCGGGTAAACTCGGAGAACCTCATTGATGCAAGCTTGCAGGTACTCAAGGCGTGAAGCATTTTGCATTGTAATTTTCCCCTCTGAGTTGAAAGCCGTTCGAATTTCCTTGGTCAACTCGGCGTATATCTGGGGATGCTTGTCCAGGTAGAAGCAGAACCCAGAGAGCGCCGACGCCGTGGTCTCGCTGCCGGCAAGAACAAGAGTGGCAGACGTCTCGAGGATTTCTTCCTCCGACATGCCAACCTGTCCATCCCTGTTCTTGCGAAGCATGTACGTCATGAAGTCCCTGCGGCCGCTGGGGGTGTCCTGGCCCAGCGCCATCCTCCGACGCGCCTTGTCCTTGGCGTGATTTCTCGAAGAATGCTGCTTTGTGCCAAACTTGCCGTTGAACATGGACAGAACCAATCTCAAGAGGGGGAAATGGGAAAAAAATCGCCGAATCATGACAAAGCGGACGCTCTCAAAGATGGACCTGACCCAAGGATGCACAGCGTGGTTTTCTAAGCTTGAAAAGGACTCGGATAAAGCCAGGTCACCGATTATATCGAACGTCGTGCAATTCATCCACTTGACCCCATTTACGACTTCCGCCTTATCAGCGCGGGTTTGCAGGCGCTCGAGGAGCAGGCCGACGTATTCCTGGATGACGTGTTCTTGCTCGGCGAGGTTGGCGTCGCTGAATGCATGGTTCAACTGGCGACGCTGGCGTCGGTGAATCTCTCTAGGAGCTACGATGATACTGTCCGCCTTGGCCTCGTGGGTGACGGGCATCTTTTCATATTCGGACTGGTCGGCTTTCCTGTGTCCAAACACTTGCGGCCAACCAATCTCGCCATCGACCATGATGTGATTGGGACCGATTCGAACGATGGGGCCATATTTCCGATGCAGTTCTGTGGTCCGGAAGATCCATCGCCCCTTGATGTAGCTCTGGTATAGGTAGGGGAGGTAAAAGATAGAGAAGAGGACAGGACCTGGGTACCCGGACAGCGGATGGAACCAAAAGCGGTATACGGCTTGCGCGATGTGAAAGGCAACGAACTGGCACAAGGTGGTTTCATGTAAGTGGCGAGACCGGACAATGCAGATGACCAGAGAAGAGAAGAGGTCAAATGTACCATAGAAGCAACCAGGGTCACCAGAGGGACAAAGTGTGTTTTGTCCCATTCGATGGGGATGGCAGTCAAGCTGCCCTTGACGGCAAAGACATCACTTGTGGACATACTGAGAAGCAGGACGTGATGCGCAACACAATGCCTCTGGAGCGATGAACGGACGACCGGGTTGCTTTTATGTCCGAGTCGGGCCGGAAGCCAGAATAGACTACTGACAGGCAGGGTGGGTGATATTCTCCCCTCAGCTCACTGTCAGATATCTCATAACCCAGTCGGTAAAAAAAGGCCCAGTACTCCGCGGGCCTGCCCGTGGTCTCGCCCGCATCGAGCTGCCGTCCGGACCGAGATGCGCGTGCTGCTGTGTGGCAATTGCACTTCGGACTTTTTGCCGGGTTACGAGATTTCCCAACAAGTCTCCATAATGGTTTACGCTCCTGGGCGAAGACTTGAGTATGAGACGGGTGTTCGGTGTACGACCAACTTTCGCAACACCAGGAATGAGAGTCAGAGTGACGTAGTATTCGGTGTTCACCTCATGGCCGATGGGCCGATTCGAGTCCTGTTCTGATGGCAGGCCGGCGCCCGTGAAGCTGCTGACGAGCAAGTCTTCCAAAGGTAAACACGTCTTGCAGTGAATTGAGGAAAGCACCAGGATTGACTGGCAGGATACTCCGTACAGGCAGCGGGATGCTAACTGCCTCTTCTTGAATCAAGCCAGGGATCGGGGATTAATGAAGTCCCCGGAGGCGGGTAAACCAGCCACCTTTTTGTTTCAGTGCCTCCAGTCCCTCCACAACTTGCTGCGGCGTACGGAGCACTCAGGTCTGGCCCTCATGCATGCTTACCCGACGATGTTGCGGCGTCTTGATTGCCAACGGCTACGGAGTAGTACCGTTTAGGCCATACAGAATATATCAGGCGCTACCCTACCGTCGAGGGATCTTATTCACTAGACATGATATGTGATGGGTCCTCGGGATGTCTTTCGCAGACGGTGTGCAGAGTCCGCGGGTTTCGGCCCAAGACTTTTCTCGGCTCCGATACGAGGCGAACCATGGTCCGCGTCAGCGCATCGTCAGCGCATGGACACATCATAACTTGAACCGGGAGACTAACCTTGGAGGCACACATGCAACAAGACCAGCATATATTAGGGCACTACGCACTAGTAGAGACGGATCATTGACGTCCCCGTCTCTGTTCTCGAGGCCAGGGCATTTCTTTTTGGTGCCGGCGAAGATAGCTCGCTGAGGAGGGTAGAGTCGAGCTGTGGCTTGATGGTAAGTCCCGATTGTCTCAGCTCAGTAAATTCTCTCCGTAGTTTGAGCTGTGGACGTACTCTGGATTCCAAAGCGAGAGACTTTGCTTAGTGCTGTGATGACGCACCGTTGTTCTTGGTGTTTGTCACTGAAGCGCAGGCCTGCAATCAACGTCTTCCAGCAAAGCCTTTCAATTGTTGGGATATTTCTAAGCATGACAGAAAGAAGGGCAAGTCCCAGATTAGCTTCTTCGGGACTAGCGACACTTCCCGTAAATCTGAGCATCGCCTTGATCGGAACCGGAACTGTCAAGGCCGACAAAATCCAGGCCAGTTACAGGCAACATGTGGGTAAGAGAACTTATATCGATGGGACTCCAGTGTGTTCTTGTAGGTATATCGATGCAGCAGTTCAACTCCAAGCTTGATGATGAACATTTTGCGGACTTGACTTGACTCTTCACGTCAAATGTGAAGGAAGACCAGGAGTCCAGGGCTTTTGTTCCTGTGCGTGGGAGGCGCTCCAAAGCGGAAGGAGCGACCCCATGCCGGGGGATTTCCGCACATTGGCGTGCCATCAACCCCGCCATCGACGTCGGTTTGCGGCGGCTACTCGGGCGGCGCGACAGGCGGAACAGAGGAAAGAGCTTCCGGTGCTGGAACAAGCTCAAAACCGTTGTTGCGGCCAAACAACTTTTTCGTCTTCTTTGAATAGAAGAACCTTTGCATCTAATCTCCGTCTCAACTCCATCCATCCTTTCGTCCCGAACAGTGTCCGGTCTTGCGGCTGCCATTACACATTTTACCATGTCGTGGCTCAACATCTCCCCCGACTCTCATTTCTCCGTTGCCAACATTCCCTTTGGCATCATTTCCACCGCAAGCGACGCGACAAGGCGCCCGGCCGTTGCTATCGGCGACTATGCTTTAGATCTCAAGGAATTTGCCAGCGGTGGCGGTTTCTCTGCCTCTCCCGACATCCAGAAGCACCAAGACGTTTTCTCGGCCCAGACTCTCAATAACTTTGCTGCTCTGGGCCGATCTTTCCATCGCTCAACTCGCGAGTACCTCCAGTCCATCTTCAGTGCAAACACCGAGAGCCCCCAAATTCTCAAGGACAATGAACAGCTCAAGCAAGCTGCGCTTTTGAAGCGCGCTGATGTTCAGAACCACCTCCCTCTCAGCATCGGCGACTACACCGATTTCTACGCCGGCAAGAACCACGCATACAATGTTGGCGTTTTGTTCCGTGGTCCGGACAATGCTCTGCAGCCCAACTATACTCATCTTCCTGTTGCGTACCACGGCCGCGCCAGTAGTGTGGTCGTCTCCGGCACTCCCCTCCGCCGACCTTGGGGACAGATTCTCAAGGACCCCAAGGCCGAGCCCAAGATCCCTACTCTGTCGCCCTGTCAGCGACTGGATCTGGAGCTTGAAATGGGCATGTTCATCTGTCGCGAAAACAAGCTGGGCAACCCGATCCCTGTCGACCAGGCTGAGGACTACATCTTCGGCTACGTCTTGATGAACGACTGGAGTGCCAGAGACATCCAGGCCTGGGAGTACATTCCCCTCGGTCCTTTTACAGCCAAGAACATGGGCACGACAATCAGCGCCTGGGTAGTCTTGGCTGACGCTCTTAATAATTCAAGGACGGCTGGCATCCCTAACGATACTCCTCTTCTGCCTTACCTCCAGGAGAAGAAGAAGGACAACTGCCTCAATATCCATCTAGAGGTTGACGTGACCAGTAAGTGCATTCGATACCCGCCCGCTCGCAGTTGAGTTCTCTTCTAACCCCTCACAGCTGCAAAGGGCAACAAGACCACCATCTCCAAGTCCAACTCCAAGAATCTGCTGTGGTCCTGGCCACAGATGATTGCTCACCACACCATAACCGGTTGTAACTTGCGTCCTGGCGACCTTTTGGGTTCAGGAACCATCACGGGGGACAAGCCCGGCAGCGAGGGCAGTATCCTGGAGCAATCACAAGGCGGCAAGGTTCCTGTCAAGCTCCAAGGCGGAGAGGAGCGCAAGTTCTTTCAGGACGGAGATACTGTAACTATCCGAGGATGGGCTGGTGAACAAGGCGCCTTGATCGGATTTGGTGAGGTGTCTGGCACCATCCTGCCAGCCCTGCCTCTGTTTTGAATATTTGCGTGATGTTTATGAAACGTGTGCAGATTAGTTGGTCGGCTCTGAATCACAGGGTAGAAGCAAGAATCGCCGAGGACCGCATTGATTCATCAATTCGCGTGATGCAACTCGTATTATTATGCCTTTTTTTTTTCATACCCTTACTCCTTTCTCAATTCTTCTGGGCAATCAGGCTGTACGAAGTAATGAGCCTTTTGCACCGCTGGGTGCGCACTCAAGTTGTCAAAGATTTTAGAAATCGTCGGAAACTGCGACAGGTCGACGCCGTAGCGTTGGGCATTCCAAAGGGCCGGCATCAGACTCGCATCCGCCATTGTAACATCGTCGCCCAAGGAATACTTGCCCGCCGAGTCCTTGGCAACGGCCTCGTATGCCGCCAGTCCATCGCCCATGAGATCCCTGTTCCACTCCTCCGCGTCGCCGCCCAAAGCCCTCACTCTCCGCATGATTCTCAAATTCGTGACGGGCTGCACATCCGCGGCGATGACCTGACACAGCGCCCGCACAGTGGCGCGACCCTTGGCATCGCTTGTCGGTGGCAGGGCCGGCACCAGGGGGTGTACTTCTTCGAGATATTCGAGCGCGGCTACAGACTGGCCAATTTTGAAGCCTGCATCCGGGGCGCGATTGGAGATGAGAAGGGGGACCGACGCAGATGGGTTGAGAGCTTTGTGCTCGGGCGACAGTTGCTCGCCTTTGAGAAGATTGACGGTGATTTGGTCGTAGGAGATGTTTTTGAGGTTGAGGATGATGCGGAGGCGAGCGGAGCACGAGGAGCGGTAGTAGGCGTAGAGAGTGTAGTCGGGCATTTCAGGCGATGATGTTGATCACGTTCTTTCGTTCTTTCTTTCTTCTTTCCTTCTTTCTTTCTTCTTTCCTTCCCGTCGTTGCTGTGTTGGACTCTACTCTTGTTCTGATTCCTGAAGGATGGATGCCCCGCGTCACCAGCTTAACAGCTTCATGGGCGAGTGAGAGCCGTTTCTAGCCTTGGGCCCGGGGTGTCGGCCAATCAGGGTGGGCTGTTGGCTGCCGAAAACGCGGAAAATGTCCCGGCAGCTGGCGCCGAATTTCGAAGTGGAAGACCTGTTTGACGCCTCTGGGCTCGAACTTGGACCGTAACATGCCTTCATTCCTCTGCGTCGTGATCAGCAATGTCTGGTGCGATTGGACTCCTGTCTCGACACAAAGCTGCGTCTCTGGTTGTCCCCTGAGATCCACGTCTCGGTATACACGACAGGTGGAAGCCAAACACCCATCAATGGCCAGGCCAGCGCACGGCCATCATCGATCGACTTTGGTGACGCGACTTGATAAAACTCCGCCAAAAGGCACGTCAGCTCATCGCGACAAGGGCGGCTAGTAGGCATTCGGCTAATAGAGCTCAAGCCGAACGGCATTGACGAATTCACCGCCCACAGAGCGCCAGCCCCTGCCAGCTGTGTGATGCCAATTGCATGGTGACGGGCCCGGAGAACAAAGAGAAGGGTACAATTCAACTGGGCATTTAATTGTTGCTCCGCATTCGCGGCGGAAAGGCGAGGCAACGAGGCGTGTGAAGGCGATGATGGGGCAATTTCCAGGGAAGACGTGGATGGCACCGCCGATCTTCCCAAGGGAACATGGGGAAGGACTGGTGAAGAAGCTTGGGTTCGAGAAGACGAACCTTACGCTGTTGGAGATGACGTTAGATTGGGCGTGTACCTCTCGGAAACGGCCGAGGAGTGTCTGGCATTCGCGACGCTGGCGGTCCTTTTACCTGGACTATTGCATGAGTATATGTGCGCTGCGAATAATTCGACATCTTTTCTGGATGCCCTTGCTCGCGTTCACGTTCCGCTTGAAAGACATCCCCACGGCGGCGATTTGACCCTTCTGCCGGATCAGCATGTCAGGCCCATTTGGAATAGTGTCGAAGTTGAGATTGCGCAAAGGAGAGCCGTCATCGATGGCCCGTATGCGGGCGACAAAGGACGAAATGCCAGTGTTGACGTGACAAAGGCTGCTGTCATTTTGTGCACAATCGTCTTTGCTGCTATCCAGCATACAATACCTGCAAATATGGATCAGGAAGAAACAAGACTACCCGTAAATCTTGCGGCCCCGATACCACGTCTCCTGAACCTTGCCTTCCAAAAGCCTCGCAGGATCCCAAACATGTCTATCACGGCAAGATTGGCAGCCTTTCCGGGCTCCAATCTGCCTACACGGCCATCAGCGGAGCAGCTATAGGCAGCATTTTGGGCTGCCGCAGCGGCGGCGGCCGCAAGACTGAGCGCGAATTCAGGGGTCGCCGCTCGTCCAGCTCCGGCTTTCGCCCCGACCGCCGCGTCGTCGCGGTGTACAAGTTCGGGAGGACGAGGTGTGACGCCGTAGGAGCATCGGTTCCAGTCGCAATGGTGGTCCCGTGCTCCCCGAAGCCTTTGTAGGGGAAGATGTGATCGCATCTTTTGGGGCCGAGCAGCTTCGGCCACGCCTGGAGGATGGACGGATCGCCAAGCACAGGCTGGACTGGACCGACGCGGCGATGCCGAGCGTTCCCAGACGTTTGACATGCTCGGGCGAGCATGTCTCCAGATGTTCGATGCGATGTCGTCCCTTTGGACTCGCCGCTTGCTCCGGCGAGTCGATGGCGACTCTGATTGCGGCGGCATCACCAGTGGCTTAGATCGCGATTTGCAAGCCCGCGTCGTCAGCCTTCTTCAAGACAGGAACGAGCTCGCCCTCCGTCCATGCTGCCGGTGCGTTCCCGTCGTTTCAACCCACCAGCTCGCCTACTAGCCTTGTAGGAGCCTTTCAATCTCATCGACTGCCGATTTTCAGTCGGTCGCCCGCTCTCGGGTGTCTTATCTGGGCGACTGGAAAGGCTTCCTTGCATTATGCCTGATGATTAGCGAAAGCAGCGGGTGGTCGGGCTCGAGGAGCTTGATGTGATGCCGACAAACGGGGTTATATTGACCACAACTTGTCTGATCAACAAAAAGAGCCACGCAGCCAACGGCTTATCCTTGGCCGCCGTGACGGCTGGTAGGCTCGCCGACGGCCATGATAGCCGGTATCCAAGCCCCAGTCCCATGGCTGGCAGATGTCCTACGTGACCTCGCGGGATGCATCACTGCAATCACAGTTGTTCTGATATTCGCCTTGATACGTGCTTGACATGCAAGACACTCTCCCCAATGGCCGTTGAGGACCTCGAGCGTGACGCCGATTCGGAGAGAATCCCCATGACTATTGCACCGACATTGCTAAATCTATTTGTTATCATGACACCTCTTGACACGTAAAAACTGCTGAAAAAAAACACATAATGTACACCATGACTATGCCGCTTCTCCATCTTCATGGGCCTTGCCAACACCAGGCTGTTGCTTGCCGATAAACTCGGACTTCTTGAGCATATTCCACTTGTCTTCTTCGGAGTCGAGGTGGCGGAAGCAGAACCAAAAGACGATGCCGCCAATGACGGCGATGACGGCAATGACAGTGTAGTTCCAGACCAGCAGAGGGTCCCCGGATAGTGGAACAAAGGCCTGACCAATGGCCGCGGACACGGCGCTCATGAACAAGTTGATACTCATGACGAGGGACTTCATGTTCTCGGGCGCCTTTGAGAAGGCGTATTCGTAAGATGTGACATTGGCGAAAATCTCGGCAATACCGATGAAGATGTAAGGCAGACTCTGGGCCCAAACGTTGATGGGTGCTGGAGGACAGTCTTCGGTGTTTGCGTGCCAGCCGCAGGGGCTCATCTTGTAGATGTAGTACTGCATGACAGCAGAGGCCACCATGGACAGAGAGGCAATGAGGAAACCAGTCGTCATGCGCTTGATGGGGGTGAAGGCGAGGCCGAGCTTGCGGAGGCCGGGATACAGAAGGTGGTCGACGAGGGGTATCATGATGACAATGGAAATGGGATTGAGGTTCTGGATGATGTCGTTTGGCACGCCGTGTCGTTCCATGGTACTGGCCTGGGTGGTCAGGTTTGCAGTCATCTGGTTGTAAGACAAGAAGAAGATGGGCAGGAAGAGGAAGACCTTGCAAGCCATGAGACCACGGCGAACCTCGTCAACCCAGGCATCATCATAGGTCATCCAACTAGGTCGCTCGTCAATAGGGACGCGGGAGGGCTTGGCAACTTCCCAGCTGAAGCTCTTCAAGCCAGAGCGCTTGCGAGCAAAGTTGAGCATTCGGATGAACTTGGAGAGCAACGAGCCGGTGGGCGGCTTGAGCTTGTACCGCTTCTTCTGCGACCAGAGAACGAGGGGCGCCAGCAAGAACAAGGCAGTGGGAATCAGGAAAGCGAGCCAGAAGCCGACGTATTTCTCCACATAGACCATGCCAATCTGGCCGCTGAGCGAGCCAATGTTGATACACAGATAGAAGTAGAGAAAGATCCTGGTATTGGTGACGGCAGGATCGACAATGACACGCTCGCCCTTGCGAACCTCGATCCGGGGTCGAACATCGTCATTCTGCTCGGCGAGCAGTGGTGAGACATTGGCCTTGAAAAACCCGGTACCCACGCAGAGACAAATTAAGCCAACAATGAAAGCAGCAAAGGAGGATTTGTTGTTGACAATGACACTCGGGGCGGATGCGGAAACCAGAATGGCGTGAGCAATAGTAGAGATGCCAATGGCAAGGTGCAAAGTCCAGAAACGTCCCATGCGGGCATCGGCAATCCAGGCACTGCAAAGAAAAAGGAGTCGAGATTAGTCAGGTTGCTCCCGGGCATCGTGGAATGAAATGATTCAGTGAAGCCTTGGCCTTACCCAAGAAGAGGCATCAGATAGGCAAAGAACTGGTTGAAAAGACTGATGCCCTGGGCAGCCTTGGTGCCCATACCCAAAGCACCAGGCTGGCCATTGTGATCGAGAGGAGCGCCCGTGGTCGAACCGGCTGGCAAAGGTTTGTTGACGAAGTTGGTGTACAGCACCATGGAGCCGTAGTACGAGAAACGTTCGCAAAGCTCGACAAAGGCAATCGTCCACATGCTCCACATAATCTTGCCGGAGACGCGGCGGAGAGTCTGCATCTCCTCGTCTGTAGGTTTACCCTCGTACTCGTCGTCGTCAAGCATCACGTCGTGATGCTGCAATGACACCTTGCGCAGATGAGCATCCATGGATCCTCTCGAAGGATTATACGGGCGACCTTTGTTCTCGGGATCAACCAGGCCCGACTGGGCAATGGCATCGTTGTCGCGATTGACTGTGGCCGTCATTGTCAAGGCGGTGTTTCTTGGTCCTCCAGCGCAACAAGACTAGACGGACACAAAAGCTGGCTGGCCGGTTTGAAAGATGGCGTCTTGGGGATTCCACAACGTGGTATCCTCCGCGGGGTACAGAGGATTAAATGTAAAATCCTTCAGAGGCCAGCCAGGACCTCCCTCCACCCTTCCCTTCCCCCCTCCCCCTTCCTATCCGCTGGGACTTGTCATGTTTCGTGATCAGACGTTTGGTTGAGAGCTCGACGGTTGCCAACTTGCCACCAGCCAACAGCCTAGCTAGCTGTCCATGGACAGTAGTTAATTCAAAAGATCCCAGCCACATGGCGACGGGTAACCCGAGAACCAGTCAGTCGTCGAGGGCAAGTCTGGGCACAGACTTGCTCGCTCCACAAGGTGAATGCACTGGCAGCCAATAAGCAATTAACCCTATCTCGAAACATGGAGGCTAACGGTAACGGGCTGAGATAAGTCAGTGCCAAGGCTCGCAGAAACGACTTCTCGAAGCTCGGAGCGCAAATCAGGGCCCCAGCAAATCAGGGTAGCGTGTAGTGTGCCGGCTTTGCGAAGGCGTTAGAGATAGTGGCCTAATTCCGGCGAGCTCCCCCGTATCAACCAGAAAATCCCTCTTCCAACGTGCTCTGTAGTCACATGTGCGAACTCGGCCGTACCACACTCAGGCCTGAACGCACATGAGGATTCAGCTGTTTGGGGGCCATCACCAAGCCAAGGCGGCCGCACATTAAACTTGTCTGATGTTGTGTGGTGTGTGTGGATAGATGTCGCAACCAGGCGAGGAAGAAAGCGAGCCTGGTAAAAAAGGGGGGTTGCTCGTTTTCAATGACACTAATCTTGGTCGCTGGCCTTATTCACACCCGAATGATAAGGATAAGTTCACGAGATTTACCCCATAATGGGTATCCCATACACAGGCGACGGGACAGGCGGGACAGGCGGTTGTTGAACACGAATCGCGCGACTTTTCGCCCGTGGCGTCTTGTCGTATCATGCATGCATGGGTCTCATCGGCAACGGGCGCCTAATAGTCTTCTCCCCAGTCTTGTCCGCCATTAAAGTTTTCTGCCCTGACGTGCTTTCAGCCACAATTCGGGAGATTGTGGGGGACGGAGTCCAGAGTCCAGAGCACTTGAGCCTCTTGTCCACTGTGCAGGAGGTAGAGCTGGTGGCAACTATCTGGGGGATATGAGGGTCGAGTGATTGCACCGTTGATGCCTTTTGTGCGTTCTCACCCGATACGACGGAAGCGTGACTTGCGGTTTGGCTTGGCTTCGTCCAAGACAAGCCAAATAGACCTGCGGGGTGTTTGCCTTTGATGTAACCCATCGGCGAGAAACCACCGTTTCCGGTTAAGTAAGTGTAAAAGCTCTTGACGGACGCGCTGACAGACTTACGCCGCGAGTCGTATTAGTATTAATGAGCCCACTTGAGAACCGGTTGCGCTCGTGGCGAGAAGCCAACTAACCACCTAGGTGGTGAAAACCAAACACGAAGGACGATTCAAGCGTATCCCCTGTGCCCCTCGGCTCGGCTTCGTTGGTCGCGACGTAGAGACGCAATGCCGAGCTGACCAAACTGCTACGTTACAGTTTGCGAGGATGTGTCCGCGGCTAACTTAGTTAGTCTGGTTGACGAGGAACTGGGGGCTTCGGACGTTGATCTACGGGTGATCGCCAAACCGAAGGGAGGTTTCCCCAGGGCTGCAGGAGGGCCACATGGACTTGATCAAGCAGACAAACCAGACTTCAGAGCTTCTGCAGATTCGAACTTGGACTTGATACTGAATTCCTGTCCTCATCCTTTGTCGAGGGCATTTTGATAAGAGGCTGCGCTGAGCGGGCATAATACTGCGACATAAAAATCTCCAACTATGTTGCTTCATCTTATTATCGCCAGTATCGGTCTCTTGTCGGCGGCATCTCCAGAGAGAGGGCAATGGGGAGACCAAACATTGGCGAGAAGAATCACCCCGGTAAAGAGGCTGTCAATTTTCTTTGCTCTGCTGTGGTATGTACTCCGTAGCACAAATAACAAACCATCTCAGCCTCAAGCCGCCGCGGTAACCGGTGGCTCTTGGCAGCAGCATGGGTCGTTTGCTCCTGCCCTAAACGCTGCTAGCCAGACGCTATCACAAGGACGGCAGGCACGACCGGGGGCCCCTCCGTGTCCTTATCGGTAACGTGTCGTCCACTCGGAAAGTTGTCTCATGCACATATTGTTGGGTCCATCGCTTGCTCGTGACTGCGAAGAGCTGAAGGAGGATGGAACAAGAAAAGAGCCCGAAAGTGGCCCCAACACCACCGCCCACCGCTGCTGGAGGAGCTCCGTGCCGCCACAAGTTCGGCGTTCGGCGTCGCGACGATGCCATTGTCAGGGTTGAACAAATAATCGATACGTTCCAACAGACGATCCGTGGTCGAGACCGAGTCTGACAATATTTGCCGAGCTGGGGCCGTCCCGGCATGCCATCAGTTCCCAGCTGGTCTGCCAGGGCCTCTTATTGTCACGGCTCACGAGATATAGAGTCCACTTTTTAGCTACCCAGGTATCCAGGTGGCTGCACCATATTGCGACACTCACATTTCACGGTATGGGCGTGGATTAAATTGGCGCTGAAATCAGAACAAACAAGTAATAAGAAATACAGTAAACCATGTCCATAACGATTCCGTATCTTAGCGATATTTAGGTTTTTACGATTATTCACAGTCATCTAAGGTTTTTCACTAGTAAATCGTTAATAGTTGCATTACTGACGAGATTGTTGACCTTGCTTAGTCACTATATATTTTGGTGTTTTCATCGTTATTAGGCCCCTACTGTAAGGGCTGAATTTCGCCGCCTTTAACGCGTTTCTCTTCCTTCAACACCACCACAATAACGCATGCCTCTAATTACAATAACCTTAATGACCTAATTGAGCCTTTTTTTAAGCGCGTTCACAAGAGCCCTAATGATCTAATTGACGATTGGCAGGAAGCTCGCAAGGCAGCAAAGAAATAATAATCTCTTAATATATACTTTACAATATCTTTATGTGTAATTTCCTAGTAAATTTAATTAAAGGCATAAGCCCTATCATAGTTGCATCTTAACAATAGTCGCTATATTACGATGAAAAAAGCCTCACGAAGGATATCGTTATAGACCCGGTTTACTGTACGTCCACTCGAGGATTCTCCTTTATTGCACGGGTAGCTGCTCGCCAAGCTATCATCAATCACAATAGATGCTAAGCGCTCGTCCTCGTCATGCCATTCATGCTCATGCTCCCTGCTTGCCGCTCACTAGTCTCTCAGGCTATGGCTGCCGTCCCGGCTTAGTCCTGGCATATTCACTTGTTTCTGGGAAGGAACTTGACTTTGACGCCTGACAGGACGAAGAGAAAATACGCCTCCTTGTCAGCGTCAGGTGGAATCTTCGCCTTCACTTCAAACTTTCCAAAGAGCGTGGCGATCACCTGAAGCACGACAAGCTCGGCCAAACTTCTTCCAGGACAGCTTCGAGAGCCGCCTCCCCAGTTCAAGCTGTACTTGTCCATCATGCGGACCGATGGCGTAGCCACTGCAGCCGTCTCGTCTCCTGCGTGGCCGCGCAGCCAGCGGCCGGGATTATACAAGTCAGGGCTGGCGCCATAGATATCCTCCCTACGATGCAGAGAAATGGGACTGCACCCAACCGTAGTATTGGCTGGCACACTTAATCCATGGACGTGCATTCCCGTAGGTGGTGTCTTACGGGGGAGTGACATGGGCACCACGGGGTAAAGCCGCATAGCTTCGCGAATTGCAGCTCTGGTGAAAGGAAGGTGGTTGCTTGTAGCATATGCGAGCGCACCATCTGCTTCAGCCGTGCGTAATTCACGGATGACTTGCTCCTGAACATCCATGTGAGAGGCAATCATGGCCACGGATGCCGTCAACGTCGACGCAAGGGTTTCGTGACCGGCTCCGAAGTTGGTGACGGCCATTTTCCGAAGATATGCCTCATTGAACTCGGGTCTGTCTTTTCTGAGCTGAATCAGGTCATTTAGCAAGTCAATTCGATTGTCCTTGGGTCCTCCCGGTTTCAGAGACGCCGCCAGACGCCGAACGATGTTCTTCACTACGCCCTGACATCCCGTCCGCTGTTAGCCTTGCGTCGGTCCGAGGGCATGCCCGCATCAGAACACTCCACAGCACGATTTGTACTCACAGGGAAGAAGGGCTTGAAGGTGGGCGGAGGCCGGTATGTCACTCCCCACAAGGATGCAAATGCCCTTCCAAGACTCGGGGACAACTGCTCCATCTTCTTCATGGCGGGGAATACTCCAAATAAGCACTTTCTTCGCCAGCCTTGGAAACTATGCGACAGCGTCGCCCAGTCTGTACCATCGCGAAGGAGACCAGGCGACCATGACAGAACAGCAGCCCCGAGACACTCCACCGTAATAATATGCATCCATTCTTTGAGATCAATCTCTTTTCCGTCTAGGTCAGAGAGCCGTTTTACTACCCTCTCCAGCGCTGCAGTGAGGGCGTCTTCGTATTTCGCCACATTCGCGGCACTGTAGACGCGGCCGATCAGACGTCTCTGTAACCGATAGCGCTTCATGTTTCTCTCGGACAAGAGATCCAATGTATCCTCAAAGTTTGCGTTGAACTTCCAATCAATACTTGGTCTGGTCAGCGCCGTCGCCACTGTGTCCCGGGGTTAGTCTTGGACGCGGAGACCAAACAACGCGTGGACCTACAGTAGAAGTCGGACTTTTCAAACCCTTTCCCGGTGCCTGCCATACAATGTGAGCTCATTTTCGGGCATGCAGACGAGTTTTGTCACAGTGCTGGACGTACAGTATATCTGGTCAAATGCTTCCGTCGTGTTGAACCACACTTCGTTGGGGCCAATGCGAACAATATCGCCGTACTTTCTGTGCATCTCTAGCCCCAACTGAGCCATTCTTCCTTGAGCTATCTGCCGAGCATACCAAAAGTTGGAGGTTGCTGCCCATTTGGGACCGGGGACTTTGGCCAGCGGGTGGAAAGTAAGGCGGTAGACGACAACCTGGAGTGTAACCGCAACGATGCCCAGCAAGGTAAGTGACACAAAACGCCATACCAGACGGGCGAAGGCGGCGGACAAGGCCATGAGAGAATCGAGTTCCATGATGAAATCGCCTGATCAGTCACCGAAGCTCGACGATGGGAGGGGAGGGGAGATGGGAAGAAGAGAAAGAGCATGGCGAGGCCGTCCGGGTTTGAAATGGGTTGCGGTAGGAGCACAGGGCGCGAGCATTTTGTGAATATGACGGCACCAATAGAAGGTCTGCGACATGCAGACATGCACTGCTATTGTGTGCGCCGATATTGTCGCGACGAAGGGGTGAATTTATTTTTGGCACTCGGAAGTTTGTGACGGTGAAAAAAATGAGCGGGACGAAGCAGCAACCTTGGGCGGCGGGCAACGGCCATGATCAGTGCATGTGTGGGTCTGGGTCAGTCAAGGTAAGTTATTCAGTGCAATTGTTTGTCTTTCTGCTCGTTTTCGCCGAGTAACTATTCAAGAGCCTGGGAGCAGGGCGAGCGAGAGGATGCCCCTGTGTAACAGGCGTACACTTGTAGGGTTTCCGTATCACATCGCTCCCCGTCTCTCCAACGATGCCAGCTCGCGAGTGACACAATGGGTGCATATGGCGATACGTCTGACCCCAGGCAACGCTGTGCAGTCCTACTTCTTCAAGATGCAAAATGTCCAATTTAAGATGTCTTTCTCAATCAATCAGTCTCCTATCCCCTTCCGCTTGTCGCGGGGTTTTCAACTCCCAGGGGCCCGGCTTGACTCTTTTCCTGCATCTGCCAGCTTCTTCCTCCGGGTCTTCTCCTCGGCCTCGGCTCGCCATTTCATCCCAAATCGAAGGACAAGCGATAGCGGAATGATGCAGACAAAGTAGAGCCCTCCGATAAGAGTGAAAGCTGGCCCTGCGCCGATGGCACTAATCATGGGAATTACCGCAGCACTTGCCCCTGCCCCGACCAAGCATCGGGTGAGGTTGTTGGCCGCGGTTACAGTCCCGGCCCGACCAGGATGGACATCAACAAGAAGGATGCTTGTCGTATTATTAAAACCAATCATCCCGATCCCCAGAAAGAAGCTGATCACACACGGTAGAGCGATATGAGTGACGGCATGCATCGCCCACCCCCATCCTATTATGCTCGCCCCGCCAAGGCACAGCAGTGGGAGGCCAATTTCCAGACGCGCTTGCTCGACAGGAAAGTTGGACAGGTCACTCTGTCGACTCTGATCGTAAGGTGTCCCGGATTTGAGGCAATGTCGTCTGTAATTTCGGTTGATGGATGGCCCGACAATCGTGGCAGCAACAATGGAGCCCAGCGCGAGGGGAAGATACATGAGGCCAATTTGAATCTCATTGAATCCGTAACGCTTCGAGAGGAGACTAGGCATCGCCGTTGCGATACAGTAGAAACCAGCGAATACAATGCTGCTCGTCCAAAGCAGCAACCCCGTCTCCCTCTCGAAGAGAAGAAACAGCGAGCGAAGAAAATTGGGCGCTTTGAACTTGAACTTATTCGAAGCCTTGCTGGCGTTGCTTGAATTGGTCGTCGCCCTCGACAATGAATGTTGTCGCCTCGCCTGTCTTTTGCGTCGGAAATGAATGGATTGCCATGCTGACCTGTACATCCGAGGCGGAGTTAGAGAGCCATCGCCCACGACGCTGCGGCAAGTCTCGGGGAAAAAGAGAACGATGAGAACCAGGGCTATGCCACCGAGAATGGCCAAAAACCAAAAGATGGCTCTCCATCCAAGGTACTGAGAAAGAAGGCCGCCGATAATTGGTCCCAGCGAGGGGGCCAGAACAGTTGGGATAACTGTCAGCCCGACGTACTGGCCTCTCTCGGCACTCGTCACTATATCGGCGACGACTGCAGTGCAGAGTGCCACCGTGCTGCTTGAACCAGCTGACTGGAGACATCTCAGCCCCAATAATGCACCATACCCTGGGGCAAGCGCCAGACCAATGTTGGCAGCAATGTATATAATGAAGCATAAGATGTACGCTGGTCGTCGCCCTCCACTATCAGCGAATGACCCGATGAACGTGGGCGTTATGCCTTGAAAGATCATATAGGTTGTGATGGTTAGATTGATCTGCGTGTTCGTCACGTTCAAATCTCTCGACAACTGCGTCAAGGCGGGCAAGTAGATTTGCGCAGTCAGAGGCGAGAAGAACGCAGTGCCAGAGGCTCCGAGCACAATGGCTCGTTTTTGCCATCGAGTGAAGACTGAGTAGGGTTTTCCCTCATTTTCTGGAGCGGTGGCGAGCTGTTTTTCGACGTCGCCGGCGATATTACCACTCAAGGAAGACTCTGCCTCCCGCCTCTGTAGAGTTGTTCGTTCTTTTGCGTCCAAGTCGGCCATGTTGTAAGTGCCATGCGCTGGGACATGTTGCTAGGCGTCATGGCAGCTAGATGAAGAGCGCAGGGGAATCGGTCCGCGGAAGGTATTAATAAAAATGCAAAAGACATGCCGCCGTTGACGGAAATAGCACCAATCTCGTCATCTTATCCCCATGTGATGAACCCGGCCAACGCCGCCGATGGAACGGCGCAATGGAGGCTTCGGTGCCGGGCACGGCGCCGATGTCGGCAATTTTTTTGACCTTTTTTCTCTTTTAATTTTTTTCTTTTTCTTGCTTCTCCACAGGTCTTTCTGGATGTACGATGTGCCTCGATTTAAAATAAGGCTTGTCTATGGTATAATCTCACTGTTCGGCAACGGTGATCATGATACATCTTCTCAAAGAGGTTGACGGGTTGTGCCTGAGACGAGGTTAACCTGCCCTTTGCATCGGCATCAGCCGTTGTGGCTGCACTTGTGCTAGTTGACTGGGGTCCTCTGTCCAACGCCAAGCTTACATGGCCGTCTGATTTTCATGACTTTACTGTATCGTCGGAGACGTGGTATTCAATAAAAACCTCTTGCATAGCTAGAACTCCCTTAAAGAAGAATTAACTAGCAACGGGCGCCAATGTTTTGCGGAGCGATGAGTGGTTTTGCCACCAGATACGAGGCATTTGGTAACTAGTGATTACCCCAGACGGGCCCTAGATGTTCCGATCCGGCACTCCCCGCCAAGGAACACGGTTTCCATGTGAAGACTCGGAGCAAGCTGCGAAGGACAACTTGGCTACTGCACAACACCGTAGCAACTACTGAACCATGGTATGCACTATTTTCCCCGGATCTTATCACATGTTTTCCTGACTCAAAGGGCTTTCAGAATGTGCAATACAACTCTGCCTTGAGGCAGAGCAAATCAATTCGCAGCGAGCTCGACGCGCTCAACGCCAAAGGGTCTCCGACTCCAGGCGAGATAGGCAATGTATCAGCATCAGTGTCATCGTTCTCAAAAATCGTCGACGAGTATAATCGCCTTGCTCGCCAGGAAATTGTTCCCAAGAAACAGGAAGAAGCATTCGAACGTGTCAAACGATTTCGAGAGGACCTTTCCGATTTCAGGTCCCAAATTGATGGGCTGAAAAAATCCAGAGACGAGGCCCAATACCAAAACAACGGAACAGAATTACTGGGCAGAAGACCCTATAACGCCACCCCCGAAAATCCATACGCAAGCACGCCAACGAACCCTAACCCTTCCTTCAACCCTCGTCATACGTCGGCTGCCAGCGGGCCTTTAACGACGGGGTCTGGAGATGAAGCGCGGGAGGCACATGCTTTCCGGGAGCAAGCATTCTTCCAGCAGACACATTCGGCCCTAGATGATTACATCGCCAGAGGTCAGGCTGTACTCGGCAACCTCGGTGAGCAGAGGGAGAGGCTTAAGAACACGCAGAAGAGGCTATACAGTGTTGGGAATACCTTGGGCATCAGCGGGGACACCATTCGAATGGTGGAAAAACGAGCGCGCGAGGATAAATGGCTATTCTTGGGCGGTGTCGTTGTTTTCTTCATATTCTGCTGGCTGGTGCTGCACTACTTGCGGTGATGGAATATACAGCCGGGAAGTGGGCACAAGCAGCATTCTAGCGAGGAACATCAGCATGGCGTCTTTGGGTTCATTGGGTTGGCGAACAAGTCAACCTTTGTTTTAGGACTTGATCCATTTATTCCTTTATTTCAGCTTACATTCCTGCGAGCCTTTTCAATTTATTTCCGTTTCTCATCTGCGCCTCTCCGGCCTTTTACATTTCCTCTTCTCCATCCACCGGTCGCAGTGCAATGGTGAAGAGCACATCTTTCGTGGTATGAACCTCGACACACTTCGTGTCAGGCAGTACATGATTGCTGGTGCTGAGTTTTCCTCCTATTTTCGACTCCCAGTCAGTTACGTCCCACTCCAATCCCTTGGTGGTGATCCGGCTTGGCTCCTGCATTGGAATAATCCCCACATGTTTCCCAAACAACTCATCCTCACCATCCTCCTTGACATGAATCTTGTGTGTCCCGGATTTCAGTAAAAATGTCAAACTTGACCCAGACAGGAGATATATCCGGCCGCTGGCATACGCGGGGTCTGTCTGATACAGGTAGAGATGGTGAAGCTGGCTGACACCTTGATCAACGCGGCCGCCAATACCGCCAAGCGCGACAATGTCAATGGCACTCGGCTGAGTCTTCCGAATCCAACTGATGGCCTTTCCAAAATCAGACGACTCCTGGTCGGTGTCATGGATGACCTGCGCAGGGATCGGTTGTGAGGAATAAAAGTCCCTCACCGAGGCAGATAGAGAGTCGAGATCCCCAATGATGGCTTGTAGATTTGACTAGGGCGCTGTTAGGAATAGGAAACGGGGTCCGGCTTATCATTGAGCTGTGAGTTTACATACAAATTTCCCTTTAAAGGAGGAAAGCTGATGGAGCCGGTTGGCCCCGCCGTCGGCAGCGACTCTAAGCGACGCTTTGGCAAGTCCAATTAGTGAGATTGAACGAAACTCCTCGTCGATAGAGGGGGCAAAGCACAGGATGGATGTCGCTTGAACGTACAGTTCCTCCAGAGTCTGCGCAGAATGGTTCCAGTCTTCAGCGGCTGGTTGAGGACCAGCAGGGCAAAATCCTGGAGACCGTCGTGATCTTCGAGGAGCTTCGCGGGGTGCCACTCAAACTTGGCAGCAGACATGTCGAGCTGACTTGTCGAGTTTTACCACGCAGGAGACTGCCTTGAATGTGCGCAGAAATAGTCCCTGGAGTCCGCGAAGAGGGAATCGAATTCAATGATTCTGGAGGCAGTGGCGTTGGGAGCCGGAAGTCGACCTCGGTTGCGTGAGTCTGACGATGATTTTGGTCTTATCAAAGTTATGAAGGGTGGAGCTGCGTGGACCGAATTGCCGTTTTAGGAGTGGAGGAGACTCCAGCGGTGAGCCGCTTGAATCGTGAATGTCACCAAAGGGCCGCGACGTCAGTCTGGCCCAGAAAAGTGACAGATTTTGCAAGGATATCCATCTTGCACCGTCCACACGTGGCATCTGCATGTTCTGTCCATCCATGTCCATGGTCCAGGTTGCAGGCTTGGCAATGGGACCTATCGTGTGACGGTTAAACACCGGCCAGCTTCGCTGCTCTCTGTCTTGGCGCGCCTGGGTTCCACGGGGTGGGTGGTGGGGACCAATCGACCTGCGCCGGTCTATTTTTTTCGATGCTGAATTCCAGTCCCCGTCGTCATTTTTCTTCAACGCATTTCAACCTTGTCGCATCCATTCAACAATATGTATCGGGCTGCAGTGCGGACTCCCCCACGGCAGGCCTGGAGGAGCCTTTGTTCCCAGTCGTTCCAGACGGCCCCCGGTCGATTTGCATCAACATCAGCCCCTGCGTACAAGCCGCGGACGTGGAAGGGCTCTGCCTTGAGATGGGGCCTTGCTTTCGGCGCCGTGTACTATTACAATACCAGCTCTGTTTTTGCCGACGAAGCTACCGGCGGTATGTCATGTCCAAGCAGTAAACCCGTCTTATGATTCTCGGATCTGATTACCGTGTCTAGTGCAATCGACGGCCGCCCCTTCTGCCTTCACAGAGTCAGACATGCCCACCGTGCACTCCGCCACTGAACAGAAGCGCAAGCAGCTCAAGCCCGCCCCTGAGGAGCGGGCAAAGCCAGATGAGAAGAGCAGCCCAACCCCAGAGACGCAGCCCGGGACGGAGCCGCAGAACGCCGTCGTTGCGGCCGGATCACCAGAGGCCCTCGAAGAAGAGGCCGGCCAAGAAGGCGCATTCAACCCCGAAACAGGGGAAATCAACTGGGACTGTCCGTGCCTCGGAGGAATGGCACACGGTCCCTGTGGCGAGGAATTCAAGGCTGCTTTCAGCTGCTTCGTCTACTCGACGGAGGAGCCAAAGGGAATGGACTGTATCGACAAATTCCAGTACGTGGCCTTTGCAGGCGTTGGTGGTTGGAAGTCAAGAGTACGATATCTAACTGTATTTTCAACAGAGGAATGCAGGAGTGCTTCAGGAAATACCCTGATATTTACGGCGCCGAGCTGTCCGACGATGGCGAAGAGGCTACCAACGACCTAGGCCAAGTCCCGCGCGACGAGCCACGAGGGGCTCCTGCTCCAACTGCCACCAAGGACGACAGATCCGGGACAGACAACCTGCCGGAGATCAGGCCACTAGAGAACAAGGGTGTCCCAAAAAAGTGGGAAGACGCTACCGATGCAGACAGGAAAGATGCCAAGGCTGAGCAGCCCGGTGTTGTGGCTGAAGAAGAAAAAGAAAACAAGGTCGAGGAGAGCGGGGAGAAGTAGGAATAACGCCGCCATCAAAAAATCCCGGCAAAGGAATACATGAAGCGAGCAAGCTTTCACACCACGGGGAACGACGTGTACCATGTTGACATGAGGCATGGCTCCATGTCTGTATTATAACTGTACGAGAAGGAGGAGATACACCAAAAGAAGGCCACGAGATATAAATAGACGGGTTCACATATCTACTCTCTTACACAAACTTTACATTTTTTTCGCAACATGGCAGGGGCAACACAGTCGTACACGCATCACGTAGCTGGTAGCTCAAGAAAAGGAAAAAAACCATATGTGCGTAGCGATGGAATTACAACGTGCCACAGTGCTGACTGACTCGACGTAGCATTACTAATGGGGGTAGAGAGCAGAGCAGAGCAGAGCAGAGCTAGTAGGACTCATTACCATCAAGAAACCAACGCCAAAAGGCCACAGAAAAAAACGGAGTGTCAATGCAACCCGGAATCACCGCCAGCACCACCGCAGAGATCAGGACGAGCGGTCCCTGTTGCCCTTGTACAGATACCGGCCGACAACAGCCTCAATGGCGCCCACGCCGGCCAGGATTCCAATGCCCACGCCGGCATTCTTCCAGGTCAAGTTGCCCCCCTCGTACAGGCCCCAGGCACGATAGCCTAGGTAGGAGCTGACGCCGACAATGGCAGCGACGTTGGTGATGGCCAGGGCGCCGGCGCTGCCGTCGGACAGGCTCGAGAACTGCTTGACGAGCCACGAGTCGGCGTCGCGTGCCTTGTTGCCGGCGCTCTTCTTGGCGCGCTCGGCCTTGACCCTGGCGGCTTCGTGGTCGCGCTCCAGGCGCTGGGCTTGCGTCTCCGTCTGGACATCCTGCTCGAGGAAGTCGGAGGGCACGGTGCGCACGCTGGGGACGTCGACATCGATGAGGGAGGCTGTCGAGGCGGACTCGGTGGTGACGACCTCGGGGGGTTGGGGGGCGGCAGCCTGCGGCGGCGAGGCGTTAGACGGGCCTTTGAGAAGAATTGAGAAGCCTGCGTGTGGTTTCCCAGCAAACGGTGGATTGCCCGGGTGCGCTGGGAAGACTCACCTCCTCGGGGGACTGCTTGGGGCCGCTGGCAGCTACGTCGGCGTAAGACACTGGAGATGGCCGGTCAGCTTGTGTGACTTTGGGGGCTGCGGGCATGTTCACGAGAAGCGGCTTACTGTTTGTGTGCGTGGGTGCGTGTGTGTGTGCGTGTGTGTGTAGGAGAGACGGGAGATGGGAGTTTGTAGAACGATTGATCGAGATTGGGTGGTTGTCGCGGAGAAGCGGCGAATGGCCAGCGGAGGGCAGAGGGTAGTGGCTTCATGTGATGCGGGATGCGAGCAAGGTCCAGCAGGTTCAGGCCAGGCCAGGCCACTAGCAGCCCCGGAGGGTCGTGCGAACGCTGGGCTGGGCTGCCCTGTTGACGTTTCGGGGCCGACATGGATGTATGACGTAGGTTAACTTACTTGCTCAACGTGCCCAGACCAGATCGGCTTGGCCCACTTGCAAGTTGGAGCAGCTCCAACGGTTTTTACAAAGTCCATCGCATCTTCCTTGTCTGGAATTCGTCCCGCCATCTAGTCGCACGAAACTGGTCAGGCTCGTGGTCCACCTGACAGCCCGTGTCCATCGTGAGCGTGCAGATGACATCACACTGTCCAGAACCGTCTAACATGGCCCGTTATGCTCGTGCTCGTGCTCGTGCTCGAATGGCAAACGCCGTCGACAATGTGGCCCAGAGATTGATATTCGCAGGGACAAAAGAATGAACGACATGGCGCATGAGACAGTAGGTGTAGCATTCTTCAACTTCCTCAAATTACCCCAAGTTGCTTTTGGCGATGCCAGTGTCAGATACACCACATCTGACATGGACATCTCCAGCCGCCAACAAAGTGGATGACCACCGGGTTGCCGAGCCAGGGGGACCGGTCCATGAGTCTGGTATGCCCGTGGCCCTCTCGCCAACAATTCAACAACCACCACCAAATCATGGTCGCCAAACCCCCGGCTGCCGTATCACCTGTCCCCTCGAAGAGGTCGAGAGTGCTTTTGCAAAGAAAGTGCCTCATGTCTTTGAAAAAAAAAAAAAAAAAAAAAGGGAACCTCGCTCAATTCAACAATATGTCCCAAACCAAAACGCCTCATCAACGGGTATCACTAATCTAAACCAGCTTTCATCTGCCACTCCTGGCCGGGGTATCAATCCCACCCAATTCTCCAAGACTCGTCCATTCGTTCGTCATCGAGAGAAAGGGCTTTGTTGCCGAAGCCCTACAATAAACCACAAATATCACAGGAATTTCCGATATTTCTCATCAAGTTTCTTTAACCAATGTTGTTTCACGCGCCAAGGCATTTTGCAATACACCAGTGCTTTGTTTTCGTTGACCAATACCGTCTCCGCGATTCGTATTTGAAGGTCCATGTCCTTGTCTGCGAAATCTTTGAAAAATTGCTCCAGAGCCAATTCACACCATGGCGAGCCGCCTGAATGCGTTGACAGACCGTTGGGGCGGGTGTCTGTTATGGATTGAGGAGTCGTCACAGTCACGGGTGGTGGGAGCTGCATAGCAGTAGGCGAAGCTGAGGCAGATTCATGGCGAAGGGAGTCGCTGGAACCGGAGGCGACAACGGGCACCGAGTCACCATGTGCAGAGATTCGTTGCTTCTTTCCCGGCGACAGGGCGTCTGCCATGGCGTTGCCCGGCTTGGCGGCAGAAGGCGGCGGTGTCGCACCGAAGGCGCCCTCGGTCTCGGGAGCGGGCAATGGTCGTTTCTTTGCATGAGTCGCCGACTCTTCGGGGGGAGTCAAAGCGGAAGACTGCATTGGGGTAGTTCGCGGAGGGATAATCGTGGAACTTGGTTTTAGCTGAGCACCTGATCCTGCGGCTGAGCCAGTTGGCTTTTGAGCCGAGGAAGAGCGAGCCGGGCCAGGACTTTCGACAGCGTGTTGTCCAGATACAGGCTCTGGTTGAAGATTCAGGACGCCTGTGCCAGGCATGTCTGGCTCGTCGCCTGGTTGTCCATCGGTCCGCCGGCGAGGTTTCATTATCCTCTTCGGCGCACCGCCAGACCCGATAACATCGGGGTACAGTGTCTCCATATATCCTTCATGATCAAGCGGCCGACCCCTGAGAGCCCTCGACAGCGGTTCTCTCTAATCGCCAGTCAGCATCGTATTCTACCGCACTTGGGCGTCGCGGCGTATCTTGCCGCGTGTCCCGCTCGGAAAACCAACCTCGATGTGTGCTCTCCAGGCCTCCTCGGTAGCCGTCACCGTCCTGGAGACGGGGTTATATGTGAAATCGGCATCTTCTCGAAGTCCCCGCCATAGGCGAAACTTTTTCCGCGCATTGTCGCTCTTGTTGATCAGATGGCTCTTGGCAGGATACGCGCCGTGGCTGTCCTGCAGCGCTTGAGCGGCGCGATCCCATGCCTCTGCCTTGAAACTACTATTCTCGCGCAAGCCCAGATGAACGCTTTCGCAAAGGCTGCGGAAGAAGGTCGTCTCGTATGCAGGCGTCCAACTGAACCTCGGCGCACGGCGGTCACGGTCGACTTTGGATGATCCCTGCCCGTCGGGGCCGAGCATATCGACGTCGTCCTCAGACATGGTGCGCAAAAGGTCTGAGATTGCTTGGGATCTCGATCGGGCAAATCTCCAGTCTCTTATTTGTCCAGACTACGGCACCAGCGATCAGCAACCAAGGTGCTGCATCAACACGCGGTGGCCTGCAAGAGCTTTTGGTGCGGACGGACCAGGAGCGCCGGGCATAGGCGGTTAAATGCACCCTTGAGCCCGAGTCGACATCAGCGCCTGCCGAATACGGGGTTCTGGTCCAGGATAGTGGGGGGGATGATCACGTGTGACCCTCCGCATTAGGGGAGTAGTTGGGGGCCCCGTCTAAACAAGTGTATCTACCTCTTTAGGAATAGTTCCTCTAGACATCCATTGGGCGGATAGTTTAGTGGTATAATACTCCCTTAGCATGTCTTTTCCGAAGGGAATACGATCTGGGAGTGGTCCGGGGTTCGATTCCCCGTTCGTCCATAGCAGGTGGTTAGAATCCACCATTATTATACCTTGCACATTTTTTTGTTTGTGGATTTTTTTTTTTCAAATCAACCCTCATCAAACATTGAGTTATCCGGGAACAGGGTCTTTCACACCTGCTTTTCTCTTTCGGCCCTAAATCACACACAACTTCCAACCTGCCAACAGCACAAAGGTTAACATCCGCCTTGGTTGATATTGGATGCATCCCGGTGTCGCCACTTCCAGTGTTTGAGGTTGAAGTAACCAGGACATGGCAATAGGATTACGTTGCTGACTCGATCAGCACTTCCACCACTGTTTTTCAGTGCAGAGACCTGACGTTGATTGAAGATTCCACGTGCCGGAATCTTGGACGTATTATCTCAACGTACACTTGGACATACCCCAGATGAATTCCAGGTACGGTACCACGGTATTTAGAGTCTATAGGGAATCTTGCGTCACAATCCTCAGACACCCCCTGAAATCCGCGGATGAAGTACTCCTCATTCTGATGACCACATGACTTCTTGGTTCGATATAGGCCACCCGCACCGAGTGAAGCTGGCAAGATTCTCTTGAATCAACGACCGCGGAAATTTGTCCTTGTTTAGCATCCAGGACCGATGTTGTCGTGCGATGCCTTGATCCCGCCGTAATTGAAGGGCATCTTGGCTCTTGGCTGATACAGCAACTAAGCCATCTTATAATAAAATCTCCAATGTATTCTAATTTGATCGTCTTCCGAGAAGATCTATTCAGAAAACGGAGCGAGCCATTTCGAACCCCCCTTTGACAGCTTTTCGACCAGGACAGCATTGGCGGGCAGAACAACATTGCCGAGTCCGAGGGTCTCTCCAAACCCGCCCTGCCCATATTCCGTCACCAACGCAAGACACTCTCTGCGATTTCTTCATCTATACAAGCGTTAAAACGTGGGCTTTTACTTAAATCGAACATTGCATCAGCGCAATATAGAGTAGGGAGAGCAGGAAGGCCGAAAGGCTTGGCCGAATCAAGTTTTAAATGGCATTGTGCTCCCCCGGGCCTCGCCGCGTGTTGAGGATTCGGATTTCGGTCCTCAAAGGGCTGAAATGCACGCTGTGCATGGATTTGTACATTGGGATTTCCCATGGCTTCCTCTGCTTGCTTTTCCCACTCCACTCGCCATCTTGTAAGAGGTGGTCTCTCTTTCACATAGCCCCAGAGACTGGAGCATTCTCCTCTTGTCTGTTTCCTCCGGGGCATCATTATCAGGACATGTAGGATGATACTCGACATGGTGCATCTTGCAATACAAATCGTCGGCTACCTGCTCGGGAGCCGAGCACCAGCTTGCTTCTCAGTATCTCCCCCTCGGATCTGCGAATATTGTACTCCCTGTAAGCGTACTCGGTCCATGAGTCGAAGGATGCACTGTAGACCTACCATTCCAGCGAAAGTCCATCCGGGGGCAAGTAAATAAACGCCTGTGATGGTCTTTCAAGTTCCAGCTGACATGTTCGGCTACGGTTTGACGGCGGCCACTGATGCATTGTAGGCCGGATTCCCTGGTGGACTTGTGATGCCCTGCTTGCTTCTAGTAACGACAATAGAAGTAGGCCTTGCCTCGGAAGCTTCCTCGTGACAGGCAGAAACGCGTTGACTCCGTTGGCGACACCCAAAGGATTCGTCCGAAAGGCGTGCGTCTACGGCGGGCACGTGGACTTGGGTGTTCTCTCACACTGCAAAGTTCAAACAAGCCTTGTCGAAGGTACTCGGCACCGCCCCAGGTTTGCCTCGCGCCCATTCCGGCATCAAGCACGGGAAGGTTAGTGGTGCCCAATTCCGAGACGGCAGTCGGCCGTGACGACGTCCGACTGAGCACCATTTTCGCCGACAAGTCGCTCCCTGGCGCTTCGAAGAGCATCGGGATGAAGATGCACGGGAAGAGGCTTCATGCCCTTGCCGCGACAGGGCTTTGCGGTCGCGAAGCCGACGCAAGAGGAGCCGCCGGTGATTAGGGCCGAGGACCCGATGCGAAAACGTCCGCTGCGGGCATGCCGAGTACTCGCGGTATAATGCCAAATACGGCAACTAACTGAATCGAGGCGAAAAGAGGAGAGGCAACTGGTTCAGTATCCGCTTTTACACTTCGAAGGGGTGAGGATGCGATCGTGTCGCGACGTCGATGACGCCGACATGGCGGTTCCAGGTTCATGGACGTTTGCCTCGACGCCGAAGTCGCGCGAGAAAAGTCCAATGCGACGCTTGGTACGCAGATATTCCGCAGCTGCGGTTTGGTTCGAGCGGTGTTTGTTGTGGCCTTTGATGATGGTTGCGTGTGGGAGACGCTTCCAACGTGAGAATCACTTGTGCAACGCGGCCGCGGCTCGAGAGGAATAAGTCGCAACACCAGACTGTCTACTGTGTACACGGCGCGAGGCAGCGAGACATGGCTCGCGTTTATACCGCAAGCCCGGGACGAGCAAAGAAAGAGTGCCGGATATGTCGGAACAGCTATTACGACCACATTCGTGTGGCCTGCGAGAATATCCCACGATCCCACGCGCCGCTGGAGTGCAAACCACGGCGCAGGGCAATCAGACGAGCCCGGCGACTGAAGACGCTGATACAGGTCCCGGGAACTTCGGCGCGCGTCAGGGTCTGATGTATGCCAGGCTGAAATGCCGCGTGCTTTAGTCTTGTGACCGATGTTTCCCAGAGATCCAAGACACTCCAGCTATAGGCCGGCTTCGAGGAATTGATGAGCGTCAATGTGGGAACAATGACCTTGCCATGTCGACTGAGAGCCAATGAGTAATAATCCACAGGTTAGTACGGTTGGATCTGGCGATGGCAGCAACCTCCAATTGGAGGGGGGGAGGTTTTTGGGGGCGATTCCGGAAGCTTGGTGTGACAAGCCTTCAGATGGAAGATTGCCGAGATTGCTCTCCAAGTTGGCTGGACACTCTGAGCTGGACCAGGCATGACTGAGGGTTTCGAGACGCTTCGCTTCAGCCATTCCGTGTGCTCCCTCAAGCCCGGCGTCCAGTCGCGGACAAGCATCGCCCGACGAGGCTCACGCTCAACGACGATCCTCATCTCCCGCCTGTCGGATAGCTTTTCTTCATGCAGAGCTCTGCGGTCCAGATGTTAGAACTCTGTCAATGTCGGCCAAGTCCTTGAAAGGTTGGTGGCCGTGCTGGACTTGTATCACGGAGCACGAGTTCTAGAACACACGCCGAAGGGCCAAATCGCGCCTCGACCGCCCGTACAGACGGCCGATTTACCAATTTTGCAAGACGTAACTAGGTAGTTGGTCACGGAGTACCTCTTTTTGGAAACTGGCGAGCATGGAGTATGTATGCGTTGGTCCTCCCCTACCACCGAAGCTGAAGCTCGCTCCCCACGGCGAGGGCGTCTTGGGGAATTACTCCACGGACTCAACCAGCAGACGCTTGTCTCGTTGCCCACGACGGCGCCCGCATGCTACTCGTGGTAGTTGCGTTATTCGTCAGAGAGTTGGCCTGGACTGCCTGTTTCAGCCCGCATATGCCGGGTGCGCCTTGAATACCACTTCTCTATAATGAAACATGACATGGCTTCCCGGCGACCAATGCGAGGCTCCCCACACAAGTAACTACATGGGAGGATCGACGTGGACAACCTGGGTCTTGGGTCTTGGGTCTCGGGTCTTGGGCCTAAGAGGCTAAAGGGTGTGGCAGCGTTGTCACACGTTTCATTGTCCGGCGAGACTGTGACTGGGACCTTCGCTCGACGGATTCACGCGTCATCCAATGCGACCTTGCATGTCCAGCGTGTCCGTCTTATAACATGCTAGCCAGGGCTACACACAAAACACCACATGACTGAACTGATGGCTTGGGGAGCCGCTAGGCCCTGCCCGCGAGCCGGGAGTCTCGTGAGTCGTGGATGGAGGAGACGTGACAACTCGCGCATGCCTCGTTGGGAATTCCTGGTATTTTAGTGCCCTGAGCTGCCGGAACACGTTACCTGGGTCACGGGAATTGAGAATTCGCCCGTCCTCACAACGTGTATCAATCCTCAGAGGACACGCTCATCTGCCGCGTCGCAGCGAGACGGTGCAAAGCGGCCATTGGCCAGACTGCTGATTGACGCCGAGCTGTAGATTCAGAAACCGAGCTGATGCATAATAAAGGCCCTTCGTAATCGGCGTCGTGACTGCGCCGCCCGGCCGAACCCGGTTGCTGGTCAGTTCTGGACTGCAACTAGCCACGGCAACTGGACAAACCGGAGCCGCTCCCCAAGTCTAGGTAGAACGTAAAGCAAAGCGGGCCGAAGAGAGATCGAATCAAGAGCTACGTCTCTCGGCGCGGGAACGAGAGCATGGACGCGGGCGGCGATCCCTCAAAAGATCCGCAAGCAAGCCCAGCGCTAAACCCCTTCTTTTTTGAGACGGAAACCCTGATGCCCTCGCAGCATGTCGCTTCACCTTTCCCCCCCTTCTTCCGTCTGTCTGCCTAGATCCGCCCGGAGCAAGCGGGGAGAGGCTGGACGAGGCGTAACAAGCCTTCGGACTCACCATCGCACGTGTCCCATGTGGTTGATTCGGGCCTTTCGTCAGGAGGTTTCGAGGTCTTGCGGCAGGGTTGCATTGCCCTCAACTCTCTTGTCATTCGTAGGGCGGATAGTCCCCTCTCCTTCTGCTGGGAGGAGGAGGAAGGGTGTGTGTGTCTGGTCTATCATTCTTCGACTTCGCCTCTGCCTTGCCGGTGTTAGTCGGTTAAAGCCCAGCAGTTGACGACAGCATCAAGGCCTAGCACTGACGGGCCTTGGTCTTCTCGTAGTCCATCGAGCAGGCACAAGCACGGGATTCATGACCCCCCCCTCTTCTTCAATCATAACATGATGTATAAGTCTAGCCAATCAAGGGTCCGGGGGGTGCATTTCGCCAAGGAGGCTCCCACCCGTTTAGTATCTTGCCATGTATCCCATGCAAGCAGCACGTAGTACCTACCTGAATTGGCCTTGGGACAAGGCTGTTGTGGTCATTCGGCGTTCTTGGGTTTATACCGAGGCTTTGCTTGATCCCGGACTGACTTGACTGACTGACTGACCCCTTTTATGCGTGAGGGAAGGGCTTGCTGTCTGCCGAGTATATCAACTCGAAAATGTCCCGCCCGGCGTTGATCCTTTGTTGGCCGAAAAGGAAAAGTGACGGTATATACTGAGATTCAGATCTGCTTACATCGTGGTCCTTCTCCCCGTTCGACGTACATATTGTATACATTGCTTGGTGCTGTATATACTTTGGCTTGTCGTTTCAACAAGCTTCACTTGCTCTTTGCGCTTCTTTTCTTTTCTTGTCTCTTCTTGTCTCTCCTTTTCTTTTCCTTTAAGCAAGAACAAAGAAACATGGTTAGTCGTCGAGCTCTCTTGAGCCTCCTGGCCCTTGCCACGTCCACCGAGGCCTGGGGAGCCCCTGGATACGGCGGGTTCACTCTCCGATGGCAAGACTCGTTCGCCGGAGGTGGCGGAAGCAGTCCCAACCCGGGCAACTGGAACCTCATCGACGGCTACATGAACGTCAACAACGAGCTCCAGCGCTACTCGTCGAGCACACGCACCGTCCAGCTCAGCGGCGGCAACACGGTCCAGCTTGTCCCCTGGCGAGACGGATCAACGCGGATGGGGTGGTCGTCGGGCCGCATGGAGAGCAAATACGTCTTCACGCCGGACGCAGGCAGAGTCACCCGGGTCGAGGCGACCCTTCGGTTCGGCAACGCCGCCCAGGGCGCAAAGCAGGGCATCTGGCCGGCCTTCTGGCTGCTCGGCGACTCTATCCGCCACGGGGTACAGTGGCCTACCGGCGGAGAGCTCGACATCATGGAGCGAGTAAACGGCCTCTTCACCGGCTACGGCACCGTCCACTGCGGCTACTCGGCGAACGGGGGTTCGTGCAACGAGCCCACGGGCATCGGCGGCGCCGTTGCCCTTCCCGACGACGGATGGCACGTCTGGCGCCTGGAGTTTGATCGTCGCAGCTCTGACTGGGCGCAGCAGACCATCACCTGGTTCCTCGATGGCCGGCAGTTCCACCAGATCAGCGGCTCTCGAATCGGCGACTACAACCTATGGGTCGCCCTGTGCCAGAAACCGCAGTACTTTCTTCTGAATGTTGCTGTCGGCGGCAACTGGGTACGTTTTGACCTCCCTGGTGCTCCCTGATGCTCCGAGATGCTCCGTCGTTCCTCCGTCATCCTCTCCGGGGGACGTCGATGGCGGTCGTGACAAATGATGGCTGACCAGTCTTCAAGCCCGGTCCTCCCAACGGCAACACCCAGGACGGATATGGCAGCATGTTGGAGGTCGCATACGTCGCTCACTACAGCACCTAGGCATTGTTCTGGCATGGGGCAAACACGTCTCGCATTGCATTGATGGAGTCAGCGTCTTTCTTGTCTATGGCGCGTCGCACCGTCATCGACGTCGGGTTCACTGTATATAGTTGTTGCTTGCTTCGCCGAGTCACCTGTACATGATGCAGAACCATTCGCTAGAAATAAGAATGCACATACACTCGCTCAAGAACAAAGCCAAGGGCTATGCGTACACTCCCCAGCCGACACGTGAAAATCTTTTGCCTAGCCCTGTAGGACAAGGTGGACGCATCGGCCGATGTCGAGTGTCTTGAAACTGCCGTGACTATTAGTAGTAGTAGTTGATCCATAACGCGTCGCATCGCACATGTGCGTGAGTCATTTTCTGTCGCATGTCCACGTGATGGCCGTCACGCCTCGTCTTCCATGACCTTCATGTCTCGCTCCAACTCGCAGACCTTCCGATCCACTTGCTTCCTGGTCTTCTCCTGCAGGTCGTATGTCTTCTGCAGCTCGTCTACCATGAACCCCTTCAGCGTCGCTCGTTTGCCGGCTCTGTAGTCGTACGCGACGATGTCTTCGAAGCACCGCGCTGCCACGCGCTTATGCATCTCCGAGTAAATCACCGCGTCGAGAAAGATGCTGTCGGAAGAGTAGGTTGGCCGCTGGGCAAGTTTGTGGATGACTGTGATCTTGTCCGGATAGGCCACGGGCTGCGCAATGGCTCCGGTCAGCATGGCCGCCTTCCGCTCAACGCGGCGATGCCGAGCACACACACTCACAAGTTTGTAGTCGGTTTTGATGCTCCTGAGGATGAGGCCGACGCCCCTGGGGCTCATGACGTCCACCCACTGCTGGCGCTCCTCGGGAGGTGCGTGTGCTGCAAAGGACGTGACCCAGTTCACGCGACCTGATTCGGCGTATCGATTGTACATGATGTTGTTGACGTGGCCTATGTATCGTGTCAGTGGCTCGGCTTCGCGCCGCCTCGGTCGAGATGTACAAGAGTCGACGCATACCCTGGTCGTCAAGGTTAGTCGGCAACTTGGCACGTACGAGCAAACACAGACTGGTCGAGAGCCTACCATGCTATCCTGTTTGCGCCGGCCGAGTTGGGTTGTGCAAGTCAGCGTTCACCTCTCAGACTCGGGACTGAGCCAGAGACATACCATGTCGCCCCAGGCCACGGCAAACTTGTCCAGTCCCCTCCACCTCTTGTCGGTCAGAAAGCCCTCTCTGCCGGCCGACAGCTCTAACCAGTTGCTGTCGACACACTCCAGGTGCTTCTCCAGCCTCGTCCGCTCCTCTCCCTGTGGATTGGCTGCCAGGCACGCCTCGATGCGGCTTCGCAAGTCTGCAAGCCATCTCGGGCTCAGCGCCGTGCCATTGCCGTCGGCATTTCCACTGGCGGTGCTGACGCTGAATAGCCGTTTCTGGCCCTGCAGTGTTTGTCGCACTGGCGCAGCCTTACCGCGCGATTGGGCTGCAGCGCGTCCGATTGCGATCATTGTCTGCCGCAGTTGAGTCCTGTTCGGGCTTCAGAGTAGAGACGGAGAGCATTGACAAGAGGTTTCTGGGACATTAGGACGACAAGATGGATAGACTCATCGATGCAGCGCTTGACGAGGGCGGTTGCGGTCGGCTTTTCGGTCCAACACTCAAGAAAACCAGCCTGCTTACGTCACGCGGCCCGTGGTGATTCGGAGGAAGACCGGAGGAGAATCGGAGGGGGGGATTCCGAGGCCATGGCCTGAACTTGCGTATTGGTTATGCGAATCAAGGCAACAAGACACAAGACAGAGATGTCTGTCCCGGGGTTCGCCCAGCAGAAGCGAGGCACATTGTCTCGAATATGTTCAGTTCGGACAAGTAAGTCAACTACCCGAGTAATAGGTTGCGCAAGCTGAGTCGGCAAGTTTCAAAAAGCAAGGTCGTCCGTCCTTCGGTCAGGTTCCGCTGCTCTCCTCCATGGACACGCATCTGCCAAGCTATCGTCAAAGTAACGACTCGACGGCCGTCTTGACGGCATCTGCGAGCTCCGTCTTCCCATTCACCACCTCAGTGCCTTCCTCCACATGGCCAGGCTTCATCACGCCCCCCGGCAAGAAACTGCACGTCATCTCGACCCATTCCGGCACCACGTCGTCCGGAAATATCCGTCTATAATACCCATACAAGTCTCCTTTCGCTACCGGCTTCACGGCCACCTGTTTCCCCAGAGCATCCGAAAAGGCCGCCTGGACATGCAGCGGACTGTACATTCTCGGGCCGTGCAACTCAAAGACGTGCGGCTTCTTCGGCGCAGCCTCCCGCTTCAGCGCCTCAGACGCAATCACAGCGCCGATGTCTGCGACCGCCACCATGGGAATCTCCCATTCCAACGGCGTGATGGTCGACACGATCAAAGGGTCTGGCGCGCCGCGTATGTCAAGTGCCGTGGCCCAATTCTCCATAAAGTACGCACAGCGCACAAACACAATCTCAGGGACGTTGGCCCTCGCAAGCACCTGTTCGGCCATGTTGTTTGTCTTGATTTCGCCCTGTTGTATATATATACGTGTATATGCAGCACTCGTGTCAGCCGTGGAAGCCAATGAGCGGCGGTGGCGGTAGAATGCACCGCCGCGTGGGGGAGACGAGACGCACGACACGGCTGCTGAATTGAGCGCCGATGCTGCTCAAGAGGATGAGCTTCTTGACTGTGCCCGCCTTTTCAATCGCATTCTTCACGTTTTCGGAGCGCTGCCTCGCGGTGGCCACGATGTCGCTGCTGTCAAAGACGGGCGGCGTAATCGCAACGACGACATCTGAGCCGTCCAAGTTGAGAGACGCCCCATCCGCAATGTCGCCCTGGACGGCTTTGAAGTTGGACAGGGTGGTGAATTCAACCGGTGCCTTGGCCGTGTCTCGGTAGATTGCTTGGATGTCAACGCCGGCGTCTGGACTGGTCAATAGGGAGCGGATCACAGCCGTGCCGGTCTTGGTGCTCGCCGGAGCGACAGTGACGAGCATGATGAAGGAGTCGACAACGATTGGAATAATGTCAAAAAGTTGCGCATCAAGAGTCGTAGCAGGAGGGCGAGGAATGAGGCCGTGTCTTCAAGCTGGTGTTGCTTCAGAGAAAAGTTGACGCCATGTCGGCCTGAGGCTGCAACTTGAGCAATCCGAAATGCCGCATTTCGACTTACACTGTACAACAAGGTTGCGAGTTGTGACGTCTGCAGGCGACAAGCCAAGCAAGCCACTTGTGAACGGGAATCGTGATGGAGGGATCTAGGCCCAATCCGCGGATCGACCGGGTTGGCGCAAGTAAGCACCAATGGACGAGCCCTTGGCGACGCCATGCTTGCATCTTACAGATTGCCAAGAGGGCCATCAACCACCGTCACTGTTGTGCGTCACACCACTCTCACCCAGCCAGCTCGACGGGATGTGGGACACGTTGAACGGCAAGAAACATTGGCACCTTGCTTGTACTGGCGCTCATCTTGCAAGGCTTGTTAGGAAGCTCGGCGTCGATAAGCGTCGACTGCGTGGAAAGGCCAAACTGTGCAAGATTTCACAATGAACATGGTGGTATCATTCTGCATGCGGAATGTCTTGGGCTAAATGTTACAAATAGTCCCCGAAACAGAACACATCTAGCAAAAACAGGAATTGAACCAAACCCCCAACACCAAATGGAAAGTCTCGACCCAGCACCATGTTACTTCTTGGTAGCCAGATTTGCCATGCTGGGACGTCGACTGGCCGAGGGCGTACCGCGGGGAGTGCCCCTGGGCGTGACACGGCTCTCGCCAAAGAATCGGTGCTGTTGGCTATATCGCCGCTCGTTTCCGGGTCGGACATGGGCCGACGCAGCAGAGCCTGGCAGATGAGCGAATCACGGTTAGCGGTTTCGACAGAGACATGGAGCATGACTGAGACATGGACGGGGCGTACCTCGGCGTTCGTCTGGATCGTATGAGATGCTGCCGCGACGCCCTTCGTTCAGATGTGTTTGGCGAGCATCTGCCAGCTTCTGGGCAAAGGGAGAGCGATGCCGCAGCGCGGGACCCTTCCAGTAGATGACGTAGACAGCGGCCACGAGGACAAAGGAAATGCAGAAGAGGATGGTGCTGGCGTATTCCAGGTTCTTGCCGCTGGAGGCGCCGATGTTCTTGAAGAAGGGGATCGCGGGAAGAGTCAGCACGCCGGCCAAGAAGTCTCTCGCCCAGCCGTTGCCCCCGGTGGCGGACGCAGAGTATGGCCCGTAGGCGCAAACCATGTAGTCGATTGTGGCCATGTATATGGCGTAGTTGGCGATGCCGACAATGGCGACGAAAACCATGGATCCGATCCAGTGGATGGGCGGCCCCTGGATCGTCCAGGCGAAGCCAATGAGACCAATGGGCAGGCAGGGAGCGGTATAGAGTAAGAACCAGAGGCGAGACTCGTACTGGGCACGCTCGTCGTTTGGCTTTGCTCTGCGCTCCTTGATGTTGCGGCGGATGGCGGGAATGAAGAGGCCCCAGGCAATGAGGTATCCGACGCCAATGGCGATGAATGTCAGACCAATCTGGACGGTCGAGAAGTGCCACTGCCCATACACGAGCCCGAAGGACTGGATGAACATGAAGATGAGGGCGTCGGAGAAGCCCGAGAGCAGCGACAGGACCAGGACGATGGGCTCGGTCACGAACATGCGGAACGGTCGGACCCAGGTGACGAGGATTTCCCTGGCCGAGAAGCGGTCGCCGAAAGGAACAAGCTCATCGGGCCCCCAGATGTTTTGGTTGGTCTCCTTTCTGCGTCGTTTGGCGATTCGGTTCATCATGATGGTGGTCCGGGTTTCGGGAACGGTGAAGAAGTGGACGAGCTGGACGAAGCCGCCGAGGATGAGCTGGATCCAGATGGACCACCTATTTACACGATTAGCATGGTTCTGAACCACGGTGACGGCCCGGGGGTCCGTTGGGCAGACACGATGGACCTACCTCCAGTCGAGGTACTGCTCGGTGAAGCCACCGACAATGGGACCCAAGACGGAGCCGCCGACAGAGGAGAAGACGACATATGCGACGGCGTACTGCTGGCTATCTGCCTCCCACATATCGGCAATCATGCCCAGGGTGACGGAGCCGCCAGCAGACGACAGACCACCCAGGGCACGGCCGACCATGATGGAGGCAAAGTTGGGAGCCAACGCGACGGGCAACTGCCAAATGTTGACAAGGAACAGGGACAGCTGAAGGACAGGCCAGCGGCCGAACTCCTCAGACCACGGGGCCCAAAGCTCGCAGCCAAAGGCGTAGAGGACCAAGAATATCGCGGCGCCGGCCCGAGCAGCCTGGTCACTTACACCAAACTCCTCCGAGATGCCGGGGATGGCGTTGGAGTAAAGAGACGTGTTGAAGTTCATGGATACCTGAACCCAGAAGATGACAGTCAAGATGTACCACTTCTTCCACGAGGAAAAGCTGTATCCCAGCTCGTCATAGCAGTCGTCTTCGGTAATCTCATACTTGTCGTATGTCCCTATCTTCTCGAGCCCGGCACCGTTGCCATTGGTGTCGGTAGGCGAGCTGGCATCGTCAGAACCGGCAGCGCCGTTGCCCTCGACGGCAGTGGCCATGCCCTCGCCGGATTCGGACTGCTTGAGCCGCTCGTTGGCGAGCTCAAGATCCTTCTGGTTGATGACCTGAGGAGGATCCTCGGAGAAGTGGGTTTGGGGCATCTCTGTCCGTCTCTCCCTCTCTTTTTTGTTGTTGGTGTTAGTTTTGCGGCCTTGTATTTCTTTCCTTTCTTCCACTTCCTCTTCTTCCTCTTCTTTTTGATCAACCACTTCTTTGGCCTCCCCCGGGTGCCCTGCAAGACCGCTTTCAAGAGCGAGGTGTCTGTCCCACAGCACGGGCAAGTATACAACCTCGACGGCAATGGGGAGAAGGAGAAGGAGAGGGGAGAGGGGGGGAGAGGGGGGGGAGGGTGGAAGACGTGTGTTTGTGATGATAGAAGCGTAATAGAGAAGAGCAAGGGACGAAGCGAAGCAACCAGGAAGCCGAGCTACCCACTTGGTGGGCGAGCGAATGCCTTTTTAACATGAGACTCGTCTTCCCACATGGCTATAACTACCTACCAACTAACTACTAGCTCGCAACAGAATAAGCCACGACTCTTGATACTACCTTGTTCCGCTGGGAGCGAGCGAGCGAGCGAGCAAGCAAGAAGGGGGAAAAAGAAAGATCCACCGGGGTTGGGTTCACAATGGGCTCTCCTAGGCTGGGCCAAGCTTCCCACGCTGACGACGGCAGCACCTTTGACAGGACGCCGGCGTCCGCGTTTGGTCTGTGGATGGTCTGGGGGATCGTCGATTCCGGCCTAGCCGGCTTCAATTGCGGACAGAAGGTTTGAATCGCCTCAGACGCACGCGGTCTCTGGGTCTGGCCCTCGCCTCTGAGACAGGAATTCTGAATTCTTGTCCAGCATCGCACGTCACGACGCCCCTGGCAACGCTGGAACAGCCAGTCAAGGCCCGTGTTTGCCGTCTGTTCTCATCTGAGACATGCCGGGGTAATTAGCAGCGACGAGGCCTCGGTGCTACGGGGTCGAGAGTGTCCACGCAGATGCAGACGCAGATGCAGATGCAGATGCAGATACAGGTCTCTGGCTGTCTGGCTGCGGCGGCGACGCAAGTCAATGTCTTGCCTGATTGGCATCTGCTGGCGCGCCCGCACTCTATCCGGAGCCGAGATGAGTTACTTATTAGCCAGAGCCTGGTGCCAAACCTACCCAAGTCGGTAAGATAAGGTGTCTCCCTTGGAGTTACATGGCACGGCTTGGATTGTCTCTCAATGTGCGCAAGACATGCGACGACAGGACCGGCTGTCTGGACTCTGGACCCTTCCAGCCCGCGCTCCTTTCAGCTCTCTTGGAACTGGAGAGAAGCTGACCAGGGCGAAGAACAAGAAGAAGAAGAGAAGGCAAAGCCGAAACAGCAAAAAAGAAACACACGACTTGGACGGATGGGGGGGGTCCGCCATTCCCGTGACATGGTTCGTCGCGTTCGCGGCTCTTGCTGAAGAGCCACTAAGCAGGGTCAGTCTGCGATCGGTCCGCAAGTCCGCGCCACTCTTGGAAGCATCAAGACAGACTTGCTTTCCCCTCGCGGCGGGTGGCTTGGATCTGGATGGCTGAAGACTCGAGATTCGATGAATGTCCTCTCCCCTCCGAGGCCAAGTGCCAGCCATGTCCATGATACCCATGGACCATGGAGAGTCCCGAGTCCACAGTCCACACCGTCCACACCGTTCCCCTGCGGCTGGGCTGGGGACGGACATGGAGCCTCCAACATCCATGACGCAGTTGCCGAGTTTATTACGGAGCCCTTCTCCATTCTCCTTCAGTCGCTGACCAGTCCAGTCAACAAACTCGGTCAGGTCCGGCGGCTCGCGGTGGGACCAGCAATATCACCCCGGGGCCTCTTTCTCTCTTGCTTGTTGGTTGTTGGGATCGACTCGGCTTTGCCATTGTATCAATGGGAGAAGCACCGGACAAAGACATTCATGAGAAACAAAGGGGGACCTTCAGCGAGCTCGGACGCAGCGGTTCCTCGGATCCCGGTGCTTGTGTCTGGTCGCCTCAGACTCGAGTGGTGTGTCTCGAGTCTTGACTGACTTGATCGGCGGCGGCACCTTGTTTCAATCAGTATCCATTGTCGGTGTCTGTCCATTTCCTCGGTACTCCTCAACGATAGGCTCGTCGTAGCCGCGCAAAAAACTCCACGTCCACGCCGCAGACATGGCACCACGTACGTTGCATCCCAAACACACCGCATGCCGTTCAGCTCAGTCCTCCCTCTCCCTCATATTTAGAGTTGACTGCAACTATGGGTACGGTGTACGTGGCAGTTACACGGGCATATCCCCACGCATCACGCATGCAAATGTTGCCGTACGGGTCGGCATGCCATGTGTGCTGTGCGTGCGTACGTGGCCTAGCCACCGCTGGTTTTTCTTCGTTTCCATCTTCTTCTCCTCGAAATCTATGCAACAAGTCCTCGACGACCCCGGGAGACAACCAGTCAGTTGCTCTCGTTCCCCGTCCTGTGAGTGAGACGGGGCAGCAATGATGTGACTGTTGTCAGATTCTATTCCACGGCCGCGTCCTCGCCACGCAGCAAAGGCAGACTCGTGACTAATAGCTCCGAATCCTGCATTCCGTCCTCCCGTCCGTCGCGAGTGAGGCAGCCTCGTGCCGGCATCAAAGTTGCGTCACGGCGGCTTGCTACGCCCCAGGCCGACCCCGGTCGAGGATGCACCATGACGCCAGAGCGTAAGCGCAGGGTCGCGAGCGGTCACCCGTTATTACCACTACCTACAGCTTTCCGGGGACCGTGCTTGACAAGGATGAGGATGGGCGGATGGGCATGGGGCGTCGACCACATGACGGGACGGCGGGTTTGGGCCTCTCGACAGCATCGCCACTCTCCCCCCCGGTGCCCAAGCCTGCCGCGACGGCGAGAAATCTTGCCTGATGTCGATGTATCGGCGGCGGCGATTCTCCACGTCGCAGTCCCGGACTGTCAACCCTCTTGGCTCGGGCCACAAGGTCAAATGACCGCCGCTGAGTCCAGGCGCCCGACTCGCGACGTGGCTTCGACTCAACCGCCCGGAGGTTCAGAACATTGGCATTGTCGTCGGCTCAGCTCGCGACTTTGCGTCCCGTCATCACCGCACGCCAAGGATGCCTCGGATTGTTCTGGAAACCAGGGCAGGCACGAAGCCGGCTGGGGAAAACTCAATTCCTGTCCTCCGTGAGCACACATGAAAGGAACCCCGACTTGGCTGCTCGTGACACGCAGCGGCGCGCTTTTCTCGTGATTCGTCTTTGCCAAGACAGCATGAGCATGGCACAAGTATAAGAGAGCATCTGTGCATTCGCTGCCCAAGACCCCATCTCAGCCATGGCATGTTTGACGTGACGTGACGCTTGAGATGCAGACACACCGCCGCCAACTACGTGCCCCTGGACGGCTTTCAGCCCGTCGGTAACTAACTACCAGTAACTTACATGGATTAAACTCGGCTCGTGCTACCCCTTCAAATGTGCCACCGTTTGGCTGCGTCACCATGTACGCAGACACGCTCCGGAGTGAGTGCTCTTGCTCCTGCACCGCGGCCATCTTCCTCCACAGACAGATTGGTCACAATGGGTACCCGCCCCTGGATAACACCTACGTTGCCATGGCTAGAGGCAGACAAGATCTCCGTCTGCGGCTACGACCGGGCCAGTCAGTGGTCACGGACGAGATGTTCGTCTTTGAGCCCGATAGCTTCATCGTTCAAACTCCAGATACAACTTGCGTGATATCGACGAGCCCGCCATCCCCCCCGTTGGCAAATCCACCGTGTAGTTGACCTCAAGCTCGTCGCCCGACCTGCCGTCCCTTGCAGGCGTCGCCGTCGGGCGGGCCTTTGCCCCGTCAAGCCGGAGCGAAAACGAGGCAGAAGCCGCCTTCTGCGTCGGGTCTGACAGCGTAATGACGAGCGTCATGCCCTCGGCGCATCTGCGCTCGCCGGAAAAGAGATAGGAGCCGGGCTGGGCAGAGGTGATGGTCACGGAGCCCCCTCTCGCCCAACCGATCTCGTCGAGCTTCAGCTTGATGCTCTTCTCGCCGCCCGGCCAGAACACGAGACTCAGTCTCCCCGATCCTAGGGCGCCGCTTATGCCGCTCGTCATGATGGGGGAGACCGAGGGCCTCTCAGCTTCCCGGGCAAGTCTGCTGCGGCTGGATGCCGGGAACACGGCATAGGCAGCAGATGTGTGCGTGACTGTAGTGTACGCCGAGAAGATGGACGAGGTGGTCACGCCGGCGGTCGAGGTCGAGATGTCGGACCAGTTCCCCGTCCGCTCGCCCTCAAACAGCGTCAGGGCAAACGGCCTGCCGTACGAGAGATATCCGTTGCCTCCGTAGAAGAGGGTCTTGCCGCGAGCCGCCTTGCCCGCGTCGGCCTGTACGGCTGCCCCGTCCACCCAGATCTTCCCCGGGGCCGAGGCGCGATTATCCAAGACGGTGATGACGGGTGCCGTGGACGCGCTCCTTTCGACATCCTGCACGGTTACCAGGACAAAGTCTTCCTGGTAGAACCACGCCTTGCGGTAGGAGATGCTCCCGTCCGAGGGGTCGGTGTAGTCCTGCACCGCGGCTCCGACTCTGCCGTCGCTGACGACCCCGACAAACTCGTTCTTTCCTGCATTTGCCGACGCACCGGCCGACAACTTGGTGTGGTTGAGCAAGGTTGTGGTTCCGGGGACGAGGTTCCAGTCCCACGCTCCCACGATGTCTGTGTATTCGTTGCCCTCGACGTACGTGAAGAGCGTGCCCTGGCCCAGGTGGTATCCGAGTGGGTTGGCAGAGTTTACGGCCTCCGAGTTGCGGGACCGCGTGGACAGCATCTTGTTCCCCAGCACAAAGGACCCGGTTCGATGGACCATGTAGTCGCCGGCCCAGAAGCCCTTGTTACCGACCAACTCTTCCGTTCCGTTGGACTGTAGGCGCCGAACGGCGTCGCTGACGTTCCTTGAGCCGGTGAAATCAGCAACCGCGCCCGCGAGCTTGGTCGCGTTGAAGTTGATGTCTGCGCTTGCTTGGAGGTCTTGGGTGGGAAACGCGACGAACCGGCCGATGGCGTTCTGGGACTCGGCTGTCAGCGCGTGTTCCGGGTCTCTCGGTGTAGAAACCTCAGTGCCGGTAGGACTCACAAAGTCCCAGTGTTCCCGTCTTGTATGTCGGTCGACAAAAATCATCCATTCGCTACCCCTTACTTGGGCGGCGATGGCGTCTCGCGTCGCGGTTCCGGCGGCAAATGAGGTGCCGACTGCTTCGCCTTGGAGCTGAACGAACGCATTGAGCTGAAGCGCGACTCAGGACTGTCTCCAAATCAAGGCCACGGCGGGGGGCGTAGTTGCCGTTATACAGGATGCCGTTGTGCTGGAGAAACGCACCATCTCTGTGGATTCCGTCCTCCGTCGTCTTGTCGGCGTACTAGTGTCTTCTATCAGAGACAGGAAGGGAAGGGCACAAGTTTTGGCATTCAAGCTACCGTCATGACAGACATGGCCCTGCCATAAGCGTCCCGCAGCATGGTGGCATTATCGGAGCGCAACGCCAGGCTGACCGAGTTTTGCATCACCAGCACAGCCTGTCGCTTTTGAATTAGTTTAGTGACGACAGCAAGCAGAGACCGTCTGGTGGCTTCTACATGCGTACGTTGGCTCCGGTCACACGGCCACCGGTGCCGTAGACTCGGTCCCTCAGGTCGTAAGCCCTGCGAGGAATGCGTTCGCACCCGGCAGTGATCTTCTTGGGCAAGTCGGCATCCTTGAGGAGCAGGCATGCGGTTGAACATAGCTGAGGAATCAAAATCGCCTGTGCGTACCAGTTCTGCTGGCAGTTAGTCGTGACTGTCTGTCCGGGAACACCGCGGGTTCAACGAGGCACACCGCACACGTACGGTATTCCACAACCCGGGCGTTCCGCATGGGCAGCCTCCCGTGCTGTCGTGTAGTCAGTTGGTCAGGGTCTCGGAGAAATAAGACGACGTTGCTGGCGCACTGACGATCTCCCACCATCTCCCATGCAGTCGGCTGGGGTGTAGTCGTTGCTGAACCAGTAGTCCAAGCCCTGGGAGACGGCCTTGAGGAGAGCCTCACTTCTTGTCCAGCCCTGGGCGACGGCCTGGTTGGCGCCAGACCATGCGGCTGCGAAGGTGATGATCCTGTTCCAATGGGCTTGAATTGGCCAGTTGGCACGTTCTGCACGGGAACGCCGACTAGTTAACAGTACTTCCGAGTCCGTGGGAACTTCGCGTATATCTTGCCAGGTGCCCAAGATCCCGGGACATTGAAATAAAGCGACCGACTTACGCGCTGCACATCCCGACTCGTAGTTCACGTCGGGCCAGGCTCCGTCGCTCTCCTGAGTCTCCAACCAAGCTGACATTTCGTCAAACCAAGTCGGGTCAGGGAACTGCGCGAGATCAGCAATCCGACGCTTGGATATGAGCGCGAGCTCGTCATGTATACTGGCTGCCTGGACGCCCGGAGGAATAATGCCGCAGCCGGCCAAGATCAGGCATCCCAAGAGAGTCCGCATTGTTACAGTGTGTGGAGTGAATGACCGAACGTTTGACAGCACGATTATGATGCCTGGATCAAGGAAAGAGCCAGGCTTGTCATGGCCACGCCGCGAGTTGAGTGTCTTTGTTGTGACATCCCGATGTTACGCTGCATCTCGCGTTCGTTGCTTTTCAATCTTTGACATTATTGGTGGGCTATTTCACAAGCATCTAGTCATTGGCGGGACAATTGAGCAACTGAAATGAGACGGAGACCTGCTCAGGGCCCCGAGTTTGTCAAAATGCAGCGTTTGATAAGCTCTCAAGTCGTTGGAAGTTGAACAAAGCCCCTCGGGAAACAAGACACTGACAAGGTTGCCCAAAACCCTCTCAAGCTGCAACCTCTAGGCACAAAGCTCGATTCAATACTGTCGTGGCGGAAAATTTGGAGACTTGCCCAAGGCCTTCAGCCATGTGGCTATGCCATGATATCTCTGAGTCCTGACCAGTCCGTACCCTGAATTTGTTGTGATGGCGGCAGGTCGACTCAATCAATACCCGGGACGGGCGCAGGGCTGTGTTGGAATTGCAGTCACGAGTTGCCGTCAAGCGACTGCACACAAAACAAGTCAAACACATGACAGGAAAGCCCTCCAACCGCTCGGAAGTTGAACCCCCCGGCTACTCGGCGGCCACAGGACAAGTCCCAAGGTCCCGCTTGACCCGGGCAGCTTCAACGGATATGTCAAACTCAAACACATCCATAGGAAGACCCAGGGTCGTACAGGCATTTGGCACATCGACAATTCCAGCAATGGATCCCTTGATTGGCGCGCACGACAGAAGCAGATATGCCTGCTCTCCGGAGTAGCCTAGACGCCGCAGCAAGCAAGGGCGAGATTAGCGCTTTTCCCTCAAGACTTGACAATACCTCGTCTCCTCGACAGCCGCATCCGCGCCGAGTGACGTTGGCCCTCACTCACCAAATTGCTTGAGATACTCGATAGCGCGGAGACATGCCTGGCGATACGCAACAGTGGCGTCCATGAAGTGCTGCTTCCCCGACTCATCGACCGAGAACCCCTCGAAAGTCAGGTATCGCGACGGTCCAAAGAGCTGCTGCACATCGCCTGGTTTGAAAACAGGGCTGGTTATCGCGCGTTCCTTCATTCCGTTCTTGACAAGGTCGAACTTGACGGTGATGATGCCAGCCTGGCGCAAGGAGCAGCATGTCAGATGACTGTGGGCGCACACGAGGAGGAGGGGGAGGAGGAGGGGGAGGAGGAGGAGGAGAACAACAACAAGGGCAAGCATGACAGAGAACAGACAAGATTACCATTTCGATGGCCCCGCAAAAGCTTATCTCGCCGTCTCCCTGCGAAAAGTGAAGGTCCCCCACTGAAAACTTGGCTCCGGGCAGGTGGACGGGAAGATACGTCGTGGATCCCCTCGAGATGTTGTTGATGTCGACGTTGCCGCCGTGTTCCGGCCGGCCAGGGATCGTCCGCGCGCCCTCCCGGGCAATCCTCGCCCGGAGGTCCCCGTCAGCGTTGCCCGCGTGCGCATTCGTCTCGTTTGGCGGCTGGGCAACGACCTGGCCGGGCATGGACTGCGCGCAGACCGAGATCAGCTCGCCCTCGCGCCGATTCCACTCGGCCAGGACTTGCGCGGACGGCGCGCAGCCGAGGATGCCCGGGTGGATGAGGCCGGCGAAGCGCACGCCCGGGATGTGGCGACTGGAGCAGTAGATGCCGTCAAAGTCCCAGATGGCCTTTGCCGCGCGCGGGTAGTGTCTGTCGAGGAACCCGCCGCCGTTGTTCCTGTCAAAGATGCCGGTGAAGCCCCAGGGGGAGTGGTCGAAGGGCTGGATGTCGGTGATGTTGACGACGAGGAGGTCGCCCGGCTCGGCGCCCTCGATGTCAAAAGGCCCTGTGAGGTAGTGGACCCTGGTGAGGTCGACGTTGCGGACGTCGTCTGCGCTGTCGTTGTTTCCAATCTGGCCGCCGGTCCAGTCCAGACATTCGATTTTGACGGTCTCGCCGCGCTTGATGGAGCCGACCGAGGGTACTGTTCAGACCTGGGTGTTAGCTGCCCGGTTTGATGCGATGCGGATGTGGCTGTATCTCGTTCTTGTTGTTGGGCAGAGTTGAACCTACTGTCTGGGTGCCAGCGGTTGTGTAGGCCGCGCTGCTCTCCGGCTGGGACGTCAAAGGACACCGTCTGGGCGGTGCGAATCTTGCCAGGCATGGCGGAGAGTCGAGACGATGGAGGATGCTGCTGATTGATGAAGTCGGGCTGAGACGCGGTGAAGCATGATGTTTTGACGTACCGCGATCATGTCTTGTATCTTTGGCGTGTCCGGATCCCAATTTCCAAGCGTCACTTTTACCCCGCAAAATAAGGGGCCCGGAACCAAATCGCCCAGCAGCCCAAGGCTTGGGCCATCACCGGTCTTGACTCTTCGGAATCGGACCGGGTGGGAGTCTGGAGTCTGGACTCTGCACTCTGCACTGCCCTCACGACTGCCGCCATTGGACGTCTCGCGAGGGCGTTTACCTGGCCTCCTCGACCGGTGATTCCTACGAGTCCTCCCCCCCCCCCCCCCCCCCCCC